GTAACAGATATTTTGTAACATTTTTTCCTTACTATTTTAGTCTTATTTCAAAGAGGCCGTATTTTTGTTGCACTTATAAATTGTATCATTAAATTTTTTTTGTATAAATATATAATTTTACTTTTCATTTATTATTATATAAAATTTTATTTCCTTAGAAAGTGTATGTATTAAATAAGAGTAAAATTAAAAATTTATTGAGTCCAAAAAAAATTAAAAATTTATTAAAATTTAATATAAAGTTAATAAGTTTTAATATTTTTCTTAACTCTATTAAAACATGTTGAAAGCAAATTAATTAACTAAAAATACTACTATATCTAGTCCTAAATGTAATAATTAGTTTGTAGGATTGAATTTGCTCTTAAATATAATATTTTGATTTATTTTGTATTCTAAATTCATAATTTTTTTCTCAAAATATCGTTATTGATTATAAGAAGTTCTCATCAAAATATAATTCCAATACATATGATTAAATAGGATAATTTAGAGAATTCACTACATATTTGTTACAAATAACTAATTTATCTAGTTTTTTTTAATTTCTCCGAATTAATTATCTAGTTCCTATATTAAGAATCCAAACTAATACTCCCTCATTCCTTAATATAGGACATAATTAATTAATTTGAGTAAGTTAATGAAATTAGTTAAATTAGTTAAGATGATATATTCTTTCTAAAATATCCTAAGCATCTTTCTTATTCTTTCTTTCATTTTTTATTTGATTATTGTTGAGAGAATATCGATAAGATTAATTTGAAAAAAAATTAATAAATATGTAAAATAGATGTTATATAAAGGATCAATGTTAATTTTCTAATTAGGTTTTATATTAAGAAGTGGGAGCGAGGCTTATGTTTGTTAAGTAATAGCAGGTCTTGAAAATAAATGAATAATTCACATAACTTCAACAGCAAATCTAGGAGTTGATCCTTTCTTTTTTTTTAGGACTTATTTGGTATGAGAAGAGGGGAGGGGAGGGGAGGGATACAAGGGGTTTTTCTCTCCTCTCATTATTTGAGTTATTTAAATTTTTAGGAGGAGAGAGAATATTTTTTAAGATTTTTCCTCTTCTTCGGCTTTTCCCTCGTAACTCTTCACTCCCAAATGGGAGAATTTAGAAAAAAATTATATTTTTTGCACATTGATTGTTCTTAACTAATTTTAACTGCTTTTTTTATTAACGTAATTCGGTTATTCGTCTCTTATAATAAGGAACGGAGGGAGTATTAAAATTACTCTGTTTTCTTTTCTTTCCTTTTTTTTCATTAAAATCTGTCTACTCATTTTTTTTTTCCAGCTAAACACAAGCTAGGTGAAGGTTCAAAAGAAAAGGGGAGTTATGTAATTTCAACAACTATGTACTCTACCTGTGTGAATATATCGGTTGAAAAAAAATTGCATAGTAGATGCATGTGCCATTTTTTGCGGTTGATTTTGATGTTTGTTTTGCCTGATTTAAAAACCCATTCTTCTTAAATAACGCATAGGTGCGTCTTTGACTTTCTAAAACGTCCTGCTTCGATGACAAGAAAAGCAGTCCCCCTTTCTCCTTGAGAATTAGCCCAAATGTCCACTCAAGGATCCTTTTTCCCTTCTCAAGGGGGGAGCGTCTGGGAAATATAAAAAATATTTTTTTAAAATCAAAATAAACTTTTTCACATATTTATTCTGTATATCATAAAAATATTTTTAAAATTATAATTTTGATTTTATTCAAATAACTCCTTCAATTCTCAAATCAATTTATTCCTTACAACCTTCGACCTCAGAAGCTTGAAATAATGTATAAATAATATTTTAATTATAAGTTAAAAAAATACGAGATAAGTATATAAAAAAATTTTACTTTAATTTATATAAAATGTGTTTATAAGTATTTATGACAATTCAGACAGCCTTTGGCCTTGTATTCTCATAGCTTCCCAGTTTTCAAATTCTTCAATTTTACTTCCCCGATCCACGCAGGTAAAATATTTATTTTAAGGAAAAACGACAAATAAATAAGTTAAAAAATATAATATTTCAAATTTGACACTTGAGAATTGAAAATGATAGAGAAGAAAATGATATCTGATATAGTATTTTCTAAATGTAGTTAAATAGCTAAAATCTCTTTATATTATAAAGTTTATTAACAAGTTTTGAATTAACAATGACAAGTATTAAATAACAAATGATAAGAAATATATTTGTAATGAAAAGTTATTTATTAACAAATTATGAATTAACAACGACAAGTGTTGAATAGTAAATGATAAGCAATGTATTCGTAATGATAAGTTATTTATTAACAAATTGTGAACTAACAATAATAAGTATTGAACAATTTAATAACATTACTGATAATAATAGGTTTGTTAGCTTTTTTTTTTTCCAAATATGATACAAGAATATTTTAGTTATTTAACTAAATTTACAAAATAATAGATCATGCACAATTTTATTTTATTTTATTTTCAACTCTTAAGTATCTGAATTGAGAAATGATAATTTCAAAAAAAAATTGGTATTTTTTCTTATTTAATTTTACATATAATATTTTAATATGCTAAAAGAGGTTGCAACAAGCTAAAGGTAGAGTCAAAATTTATTAAAAAAATCATAGTTGAGTCTAAAATTAGTTTTCTTAAACGGATCGGGGAAAGAATGTGGAGCTGGGCTCCCCAGGACACCCCGGAAAAGAAAAGGCGGAATCAGATGGGACAACATAGCCATATAGGCGAGCCATGATGGCAAAAGGCGTAAATTTGATCATGCTTTTATTTCTTTTTTTTTTTGGGCAACTTTTATTTCTTTTATTTAATTTATAGAGAAGTATAAAAAAAAAAGGGAGAATTACAATCAAGTTTCATAGAAGAGAAATAACTATTACAAGGTCCAATAACAATCTGAGCAGCTTATAATGACAAGTTTTACAGTGAAAATAACAATTTCTGGGACTTATTTTTCAATTATTTTTTTATTTAGGATTTCATTATAATTCTCCCAAAAAAATATTCGATGCAGAAATGCATATGCTTTGTGAACAAGTAAAACGTGCATGCTTGCTTACTGTAGAGTTCAAATATTAGGCGGTGAAAAGAAGAGATTGGTGATGCTAATAAAATCTCCGGAATCAGACTGAAGTGGCTGGTTCAACTGGAAAACCATTAAATTAGTCAGAAATTGAATTAATACCAAATCGGGATGAATTAGTAAAAATCGGTTTGAATGAATATGTTGTCATTAGTCTTTTTTTTTTGGTCATACAACTTGTAATATCTTAGCTACTATAAATTTGAATGAATTTTAATAATGATTTAAATATTAATGATTATTAATTTTAGTTATTGATGAATCCTAAAGATCTAATTTATTAGTATTGTTGTATTTTGTTATTGTTATAATTAAACCATTGTTGTATCTTCTTGTATTTTGTTATTAGTTATTATTATTGTTGTTGTGTTTATTTTATTTATTTTTGAAAAAATTACAGAAAAATACTTGTTAAATTTAAAAAAGAAAAATATGTTATGCTAATTACTTTTGAAGTGGCTTATAATACTCTTGTAATAATTTTAACAAGTTCAAATATAACTAAATTGCCTATTGATCATTTTGAAATTTAAGAGGTATTTTCGGCTATTTTCTCCTTATTTTTTTAATAAAAAACCTGAGACTTTATTCATAATTTTATAAAATGTGAGATATGCATGGTTCAAATTTCAATCCCATGATCGAGGTGAAAAAATGAATAGAAATGAAAGGAAAGGGAAGAGAAGCGGAGAGAGTGGATGATACTCCCTCTTGTGGCCTTGTCCCGGCCAACGAATTAATCCACACAAATCAAAAAATAATAATTATATTATTAAATTATAACAAATTTTGTGGTGCCAATAAATAATTATTTATATGATTAATAATAATTTATAACTAGACAATCCTTGTAATAAGTACAAAACTACAAAAGAGAATAATAGTAGGGGGGAGAGAATGGAATGAGCAGGAAAAGGGGAAACGCGAAATGATGAGGAGGTGGACGTTGGCGTGAGGATTAGCAGAGCAGCTAGTCTGACCCAGAAAGAGAGAGAGAAGGCAAAGGTCAATGGGGAGCAGTTAGGATGCACGTAGCTTAGGCTCGTAATCATTTCCTGCCTCTTCTCTCCTGCTCACCCCTCCTCGTGATTTTTTTCCTCCCTCCTTCTTCTTATTTTTCTTTCTTCCTTTTTTTTTTTTGGATTACTCCATCCGGTATCCAGGAAAATAGGCGTCTTTCAGCCGTGACAACGTCCCTAGACTAATCCGGATTCGGGGGCTTGCAAGGATCCATACGGACGGCGCCCCTGATCCCTTGGAGTGCTGCGTTTTCACGTCTCGAACCCGAGATCCGTGGTTAAGCTAGGACGACCCTAGTCAGTCGACCTAACCCCGCGGGGTTTTTTTTCTTTCTTCCTTTTATTGACCAAGGGTAATATTGAATCCTCTTCTGATTTTTCAGGCCTAAAAAAAAATATCTTCTAATTGAATGCTTTATCATCTGGGCACAACGCATACCTGAAGAGTAGATGGGAATCATAGACCCACTTGAGCTTGTATCTTTATTTCCTAAAATTGTCCATAAACATTCCAACTAGACATTATAAACATCAATTATACAAAAATGGGTAAGAAACCGTATGCTATACTTTTTCATTTTCATTGAGCTCCATGCAAATATATAAAGTCTATTCTAATTTATTTAAAAAAATTGAATTTTTATGAGATGAGAATAATATATGATTTTTATTATTTTAGGCATTAAAATAAATGACTTCCTAATTTTTATTGGTTATTAATTACACAGCATGTAATAATTATAACTATTGCTGGGGGGAAAAGGTCTCTGGAATTCACCAAAAAAATGGCAATTGTTTTATGACTTTTAATGGCCTTGGCAACGCTACCAGGTGGGGTTAGAAAGTTGAAACAGTAGGAGCAGCAGGTATAATCAGGGAGACTCCTCCATTTGCAGACCCTTCTCACTCTCTCCTCGCTTCGTCCTTTCCTTTTCTCTCCTGATTTTCCCCCTTCTCTCTCCTCGATTTTCATCCCCCTCTCTCTGCTTTCTGCTCTATAAATAATCACAGGCGCATGAGATCTTTACTGGACGAATAGCTAGCGTCTTCAACAAGGTTTTGGAACGTCAGAACAAGGGATTCGGATTCTAAAGTAGCTGTAGTTTCTGTATTTGTTGCAGATCGAGAGAAAATCCATGGGCAGCTGTGGAAGGGAAGGGTCAGTGAGGCAGTATATACGATCGAAAGTCCCTCGTCTAAGATGGACTCCTGAACTGCATCGCTGCTTTGTTCATGCCATTGACACCCTCGGAGGTCATCACAGTGAGTCTCTTTTGCGGTTTTGCCTTGCCTCCTCTTTCAGTCTTTCTCTAGCGCTTCCGCTTTTGATTTCTGTGTTCTCAGTTTTTTTCCCGAGTCATAGTCGTCTGCATTTGATGAAATGACTTCTCGTTTCTGTGGTTTTGTAGAGGCGACGCCTAAGCTTGTTCTTCAGATGATGGATGTCAAAGGTCTCACTATCTCACACGTGAAGAGCCATCTTCAGGTTGATTTCCTAGTACTGTGGTTTTACCGGGTGATGGAATCATGCTTAACTTTTTTTTTTTTTTGTGGTGTTTACTTGATGTTTTGTTGTTGTTTTTAAACCAGATGTACAGAAGCATGAGAAGTAATTTGGGCAGACAAGGTACTATAAGTTGTGTTGCTATCATGCTGCGTATGATTTTTGCTTTGAAAGTAGGACTTTTTTGTGTATCGTACATTAAATACTCGTTTCGCTTTGCACAATAAAAGAAGACGATGATGAGATCTCTATCTATTACCGTTTCCTCTAATGGCACGTATTCGGATTCAAAAGCAAAACCTGAGAGGTAGCATTTATGAACGAGTTTGGGAAATCTGCGTCTGCATTGCTCATTTATTAGTCCTTTTAATTCCTTTTTTCATTTGGTTGATGCCAAAAGAGACATGGAGAGAAAGAGGGAAACCAGTGTACTTTTGAATCCTTTCTTGATGAAAAACTTGGATGAAACCCAAAGCTTTTTACCCTTGCAACTTCTGTGGGGTTTTTCATCTATGCATCCTTAATAAATACTCGTGTACTGTAACAGATGGGAGTTCGAGCCACCATAGAAAGCAATCTTTTGAGGAACATGATGATGGGTGTGTTGATGAAGTGAATGATGCAGATGCTGGTAGAGCTATTATTCAACGATGTTCAAAATCCATGAGGAAAGAATCAGACTCCCCCAGGAGCTACAGTGATTTCTCACCTAAAAGGTCAGCTTAGCTTCATTATTATAAATAAATAGATGTTATGATGTTTTTGACATGATAACAGACTTTTCTTGTGTCAAGAAAAGTGACGGGGGGAAGGAAAGAGAAGAAAAAGAAGAGAGAAGAGCCTGGGAGGGTTTTGCTTTAACTCAGAATTTATAATTCTGCGTGTGAAGTGACTTTTACTTTTGTATGCGTGGTTTTTGAAATTCCTTTCCGTCTGGAATCTCTTGGGTGGTCAGAGCGAGAATGGAGACGAGGAGTTGCATATCAGTAGCAGAGAGGCAAAGAACATGTGAAGCAGGAACAGTGGCGAGTCCGTACAGCTTTTATGATTATGTGCAGGTAACGGGTGAGCGCAAGGGAATAAAGGAGGCTTCTTCTTCATCTTCTGCTGCTGCGACAATATCAATATGGCAGAATCAACCCTTCTCTCTTCTGCCACATTTTCCTAACCTCACTTCTTTCCACCAGCAATCTGATTATCCTCAGGTACTCATGCCAACACGAATTCCACCCTCTTTCTCCCCTTTTACTTTTTTATTATTTGTTTTTGACTATGAAATGAGTTAAATACGATAAAAGTCAGGCGGCACCGAAATGTCGAATCAGGTTTTGCTTCGGTCCGGCGGTTCGAAGCTGTCTAACAAACGTGTAAAAACCGATCAAGGATAAAACTAGTAGAAATTAGTCAGAGAATCCTGCCTCGTCTGATTCAAAAAGTATTCTTAAAATTTCGTGGATATTACATGATATATTTAACAAATTACAGTCAAAAGTTCTGACTCCGTCCTCTCGTTCGTTCCTTTTGCAACCCTTTCTATAAAGAATTATATGCAAGTCTACTTTTTTTTTTCCCCCTCCCATATGAAGTTACGTATTTATTGAAAAATCTATATAATAAATAAATTCAACCTAATTTTATGATATATTTTACGAGGTTTCACAACCTTCATTATTCATGGAACATATTTAAGTTGTATGGTTTGATGTGATAATGTATTAATTATTGTAATATTATGTTAGGGTTTGATTATTATTTGGCGAGAAACGCTTTAACCATAGCTTTAAATCTTTACCTCTATATTGCCAAATATATGATAGGTTAAGGAATCATACTCAGATATAAATGTGAAAATAAAATGAACTGATTATGGCATTATTTGTTGGTGCTGAGATGATGAAATGGAAACACTAATCTTGAGACTATTGGGGTTTTTTTACGCTTTTTTTTCAAATGCTGTAAACTTTTCCTGATCCCGTTTTTACATCTTAAAGGGGAAACCATTACTTTCGTCCCAGCTACCTTGTGCTTTTTCTGTGTTCATATGCTCCAAAACTTTGGGTCCAAAAGAGGAGGCAAAATACTTCTAAGCTTGCAAACTTCTCACAAGTTCATACCAGATGCTACGCTCTTTCTTTTCCCTATAAAATGTTCCACCCTGCATTTTTCTCTCCCGTTGAAAGTGAGTGAAGGTGGCTCACTTTTGATGCCTTTTCTGTTCGTATTTTAAGAAAGTTGGTTCATTCAGAAGAGCTTACATCAGTATGCAGAAGGTAAGAAAGATTGTAAAGTAGGAAAAAAGAGGCTTACGGGACATGCATAGGCCAAGTGCTAGAAGTCTCGCGACGCTAATTTTTTGGATTATTTATGCAGTATATCAAATTTAAAACAACGAATTTAGTACTTAAGTTAATAATGAATATTATAACTAATTAGAATGCTAAATTAATCTGATGTACTAGTATGTATAATCACATTTAATAATTTAAAATAAAAGATTTGTGGGCTTACGTTGTAGTAAATTTGTCATCGATGAGTCGTATATTTATTGGCAAGATGAAATGAGCATGATGGTAATAGGATTACCCAACATTTACTGGCCGCTGTCATATATCATAATGCCCTCTATTTTGGACGCTTTTAAGCGATCGGTGGTCCTCTCAAATTATTGGGAGCAGGGACCCTGCAATGGCTTGGTCAAAATGGCCGTTTGCTATTATTGCCCTTATTCAGACAAAAAGCCTAAGATGCCAGTGATAGTAATTGTGAGTTGTAATATTTGTTTGGATGGATTGGCAGGGCAGCGGATTAGGTGGCGGAAATGTTGGTTCAGGGGCGAAGAATGAAGATGCAGAAGAAGGGTGCGAGCTTTCACTATCCCTCTCGCTGCCAAACCAATCCTCAAAGAGGAGCAATAATACAATCACTAACAACAGTGAAATGAGTGAGGCCATGTCGTTCATGTCTTGTTCTTCCTGCGGCAAAGATACTATTAACTTGGACTTGTCCATAGCCCTATGTGGCATTTGATTTTGTTCTTCAACTCTCTAACTATTAAAACCGAATGTTGTGCTTTATTTACGCACCCGCGCTATTCCTCCTTCACTCACTCTCTTTGCCTTTAAAACGCCTTCTAATAAACCCGGGGACCGTCAGTGTAAATGGCAGCCCAATACTAGACCGGCCCAATACTCGATATGGGCTCTCTTGCGTTTGTTAACATTTATGCTGCTCTGTGCCCCCTTCTTGCACACTAACCAGCAGATCATGTGAACAGTTGCCAAAAAAAAAAGATTATAAAAACAACAAAAATTGTACGATTTCAGCTAAAGTGACGATCTGCTCCCAAAGGCATTATTAACAAGCAAATTGAAAAAAAGAATTCAAGAATTTCCTTCGTAGTCTTTGCTCTCGTCTTGTTCATTTTAATTCCGTGCTTTATATGAGATGTTTTCAACGAATGTTTAAATGCTTTGCATTCTAACTTCTCTCTTTAAACTCAATTTTTGTCCCTTAGGCATCTTCGTTATTTTAACCAGGCTAATGTAGATAAAAAGCAGTGTTATGAATATTGCAATTATGACTTGTTGTAATATGGATAAAAGAGCAGCCTTTTCAAATTTCAATTCACTGTTAAGTTTAGTTACATTATCTTCTGACTCCCAAGTAAGTAGCTTTCTAGTATTTATTTTTAACTTCAAAACTTTCAAATGATTTATGCCATTCTAACGCTAAATTGAGTTTTTCATGGTTAAAAGTCCATGGATGAAAGGGTGTCCTTGCATATTTAGTAAGTTTAAGTTTACATTTAAATTTTAATGAAATGGTATTTGTTGGCTTATCAGCGAATTTTATTGTTTTATTTCATTTTTTGTTTGTTTATACACACACATTTGTTTTCAATTAAGGGGGTGTTTGGATGCTTTTGAAAATCATTTTTCTATAAATCAATACAAATTTTTCACATATTTACTTTATATATTATAAAAGTATTTTTAAAATTATAATTTTTTAAAGAAAAATAGTAAAAAAAGACTGTTGAAATAGAAAAATTACATATAGAGACCGGTTTGTAAAAATTATTGTCAAAATTTATATTTTTATCGTCAAAACTCAAACTAATATTTCACGAGTTTTTATTTATAATTTTTCTATTTTCTTAGTATTTATTTTGCCATTTTCTCTTGTTTTTACCTCAAATAAAAAAAGTGTTTAGATTAAATCAAGATTATAATTTTAAAAATGTTTTTATATTATACAAAATAAACATGCCAAAGAGTTTCTCTTATTTTACGAAAAAGTACTGCTAGCCTTCTGTGTGCTTTCGAACACTCCCGGCAATCAGGAAAGCCAACCAGAAACAGCAGGTTTGCGCAAATGGCTCAACTTTGGCGACCTCTAATGAGGCAATGGCCATGGCGGGGGTCGCGCATGCCGAACCATTGTTGTGGCATCAGCCTTCACCATCTCCTCAGCTCGCCCTGTTTTCTTGAGCCCGCCAAGCCAACCTCTTTTACTCATTTCTCTTTGGTCCCTCTTGTTTCATCATCTAATCGAAATCTCCATTTTCGCTCTGGCTCTCTTCGATTTTCCGACGACGCCGTGCTTCAAGATGGAGCTGACAGTGATGAATCGAGTGCTGACGTTAAGAAGAGCCGCAATCAGCTGAAACGCGAGGCTAAGCGTGCTGTGCGTTGGGGTATGGAGCTGGCTTCTTTCTCTGCTCCTCAAATCAAGCGAATACTCAGGTTGAATTAGCAGACATTGCCACTTCCTTTCTACTGGTGCTTACTTTTAGAAAGTTGTGATGTATCACTGGTTGAAGGTTTCTGTAATTTGTTTTGGATTGCAGAGTGGTTTCTGTGGACCGAGAAGTGTTTGAAGCTCTAATGCTGGTTAAGGTGATTTTCCATTTTAATAATGAAGATGAGTTATGCTAGTTAGCTTGTCTTTTTCCCCCTTTGCCTCTGGAATAATTGTTTTTTTGTTTAATCTACTATTGAAGAGAAGGTGTTTGTTGTTTTGCCATAGAGATTAAGACCGGATGTCCGCGAAGGAAGGAGGAGGCAGTTCAATTATATTGGTAATTTTTTCATTTCTCTTTAAATTTTTTATTTGGAATGCAGAATATTGTATTGGCTACCTGTCTTGCAAACTTACCTAAAGATAAGCTGCGGTATGTAGACCAATGCTTATTTGTCTTGAAAGCATCTTTTGGGGAAATATGCTCGTACTAACTGAAACAGATACACAATTTGGTCATCGAAAGATATACTTCCTAATGCATTAGCCATTGGATTTGTTTTTCTACATGACTTAGTTGCTCAGCTCAGCTCATCGTTCTAACTTGCTGCACATGGGCCTTTGCCTGAACAACATGTTTATTACACTATGATGAGCTCAATATATAGCTGTGGTAAGTATCCACATACTTCACAAAAACTTTTCGTCAACCTTCCTCTGACTTATACTATCTTCGAAGAAAATAGGTAAAAATTGGCTTCTAACAGAACAATATCTGATTCTATTTCTGCTGATAATGCACACCCCTTTTCTAAAGCCAGCTCTCCATTCTTGAAAATTTCGCTTGATTCCTATAGCAGTTATGTGTCTTGCGTACTTTTCTCAGTTTCCATGCTCTTCCTCCTTAAATTTCGCTTGATTCTTATGGCAGTGATGTGTTTTGTGTACCTTTCTTAGTTCCATGCTCTTCCTCCTCCTTTCTACTTCTTCAGACCCTCTTTCCTTATGGCTTCTTCCCATGTCTAGTTCTGGGCATCATCTGTTATCTATTTAACTTATTTTCTTTAAACCCTCTCTGGTTTACTGTATATTCAATTGAATTAACGCATGGGAATTTGTCGCGGGCCAATCATGGTACTACTAACCAGTTGATTGAATTGCACTTACCATTTGAGATTTTAAGGTAATTTCATGTGACCTTCATTTGCTATTTGATGCAGTTTTTTTTTTGCTGCATACTTACCGAATTTGTGTCAGGAAAATTGCTGCGGGAAGTGCAACCTGAATTAATGGATAAATTAATAGAAGCAACAAAAGATGGCAATCACAGTGAGCTACAAAAATTATGTGGCTCAGATTCTGAGGTTCTTGAAGGCGACGACGAACTTACGGAATTTGAGCCTGACGAGGATGATGAGGTATTCATTTATATATTAGTATTCATGCTACACAATGTGCTCTCACACACACGCACACATCCATAACATATCCACAACTTTTTGTTCAACATGTCGAGTTAATTGAATCCTTCAAATGACCCTATCCCTCGGGATACAAAAAATCAATTCTCGCTTTCTGATTCTGGTGGCTAATTAGTCTCTTCATAGCAGGTGGAATATAAATGTTCCTGGATTCCTCGGGTATTGGTCACTGATCTATTTCATGTCGTATGATTACATTCTTACTTTTGGAGTATTTTATCAGGATTCTGATTGGCACGTTGCTCGAGCAGTTAGATGGTTTGATGGTCTGGTCAATAAAGATGTTAAAATCACCAATGAAGTTTATTCATTGCAGGAGGTTGAGTTTGATCGTCAGGTAATGTCTTCTTCCTCTTCCTTTTTCTGTGGGATTCTCTTCCCCCACTTTTCCAGTGCAGCTTCAAATGCATGATACATTTTTACTTGGGTGCACATTTTAGAACCGGTAAAACACGTCACCTTCTTTGATATACTTCATAGAGGGAATACAACCGAATGAAACATTTCGGTCTTCTTTGTCCTGGATGCCATGCTGAACTGGTACACATTTGGCAGAGTTAATGATCATCAGTATGGCTGGATGTGTAATATTTCATACATGCTATATAAGAAATGTTTTCAAATATGACCTCAAAACTTTCATCACTATTAAAAACAAGATTTAACTTATAGAAGATTCAAACTACAATTTTTTTACGCACAAGTTATCCAACATATGCTTAAAGTAGACTAAAAATTGATTAGTTAAACATACAACAATAACAACAACAAAGCCTTGTCTCACCAGGTGGGGTCGGCTATATAGATTGCACGATGTCATTGAGTTCTATCTAAAGCCAAATCTTTAGATAGGTTGTTAATTGAAAGATATCTATCAATGATTTCCTTAAGCGTTGTCTTCGGCCTTCCTCTACTTCTTTTTAGAGGGTTCTATATTGTTCGCTCAACTCTTCTTTGATTAGGTAAACATAATTTTCTTAAATTTTGTTCAAATGACTTTTCTTAGTTTAAAATAAATTGCAGGGACTATTTTGAGTTTCTGGTTAATTATATATATATATATATTTTTTTTCTTTTGTAAATTTTCGTAGCTCACATAATTTCTTCTTGAAAATGGAGGATAAATTGTACATATCTCTCGTGAGTTTTCAAGTCCTTGTGAATTTACACAAGTCTTCCGTTTTCTCCTATTTAGGTTGCGTACTTTTAGTAGAATAATGAGAGAAGTTTGTGTTTTGAAAATTCGGAGAAAGTCATTTGCACTTTTACTCCGATAAAATTTGTACTTTATTGTCATCCCAAAATTTCTTCATGGCAATCAATAATCTGTCCTTTTACCGTCAAGCGGTATAATGCCCTATGAGTTCTCATGGGTTAGTTGGATCAGGAGTTACGGAAGCTTGTAAGAATGGTGCACTCAGCACAAGAACAGGAAGTTGCTAATGAAGTGGAGAGAAAAGTAGAAACAGCGAAAATTCGGGCTGAAAAGGCTCTCACTCGTTTCCTTCGTTCCATTGCAAGACAAGTTCCTAATGAATATTGATTATCATCAATTTTTAATATAGCAATTAGTCATTCATATATTAGGGTCATAGATTAAGTGTACCATATGTGTATTAAAATTTTTTGTCATAGATGCCTGATGGCTTAAAAAGTATTTGATCATTGATAGAGTTCAACGGTTCTTGTGGAATTTATAGATTTATAGCTTTCTTCAAAAGTATTTTGGGTCATTGAGTTTGTCTGGGATGGGCGACGCTGTTGCGCCTTCGAGACCAGCAGCAGCTGCCAATTGGCTGCATACCAGTGGTGTTCCTGGCTCTCACACAATGCGGAAAGGGAGTCAAAATAACTTCTTATATTTCATGAAGGAATAAATACAGCTACCGGAATCAATTTGGGTCGAAGATAGAGAGATAAAAATAAATTTTATCAAATCCTATCTCTAATAACTACAAATATTTACATGTTAATGATTGGATTTCCATAAAAATACATTCGAGAGGGAACAGATTCGGGGACCTACATTTATAATACGGTGTTTATATGCAGAGCTTTAAGTAATGAAGTGGCCATTTGCTTGACCAACACTTGGCCTCCTGAACTTTGTCCGTCTCGCCGTTCCTCTATTAAGCTCTGAAGTTTCTGAGGCAAATCATTCTCCACAATCAACTTCTTTGGCTGTGGATGGTGTTCGTAGACAGCCTACCAAATAATTTTTAGAGTCCTTTTCAGTGTTGCTATGAGTTCATATGCACATTGTTGGAACAGAAACTTATACTCACTTTAACATTTAATGTTTCAGCTGTACAATATAAACAAAAATATAACCATACTTGCCCGTCAGAACTACTCAATGCAGCATCTTAGAGTTCCATTATAGTGCGTACATGTTGAGAGGAGTCATCCGTTCTATCTCAATCAGTTTCAAATCAACAATAGATAATTACAGTCAACAATTCATAAATGGGACATTTGCACGAGGAACACCTCTATCCCCCATGTTTTAACTCTAGTCATTTTAAAGCCTATCCAAAAAAGGAAAAAGAAGTGAAATACACTAGCTACTCATATGATTTACTTAGATTACGAAAACCTCCATTCTATTTTGAAAGCATATATAAACCTCCTTTAAAAATAAAATGTACTACCTCTGGTCCTAGTTATAAGAGCTAACTGACCAATTTGGGGAGATTAAGAAAACAAGTTAAGTTAGTTATTTATAATTGATGTGTATTATTTTTTTCTAACATATCTTTGCTAATTAAATGTGTTGGTGAGAGCTATTATTATTAGAAGGACTACCTTGATTTTATTATAAAATTTTATAATTTTAATTTTTCATCACAAATATTGAAACTTATTTATTTAGATTTCTTTTAAATGGCTTTCAATCATATAATATAAATTATCTAAGTTTGAGAGATTATAGAAATTATTTAAATTCATAAATTTCCATTCAAGTTTTTTATGTCTACATTAAATAAATTATTTAATTTTCTATTCCAATATGATGAAAATATTAAACAGTTGTTTGTAAAAATAAAAATAATTAAGCAAAAATAAAAAATTTAAATTCTTCAAAACTTTTTAATCAAAATTTAGAGACTTAGGATTATGAAGGGTAAATTATTAAATAAAAAGAATTTTAATATAAATTTTAACTAAAAAAATAATTTTTTAAAAATATTCTTAATAGAGTTAATCAAAATAGATAGGAGGTTCGTATAATTAGGACAAAATGTAAAGAAGAGTATTTCATTTTTAAAAAAACTCTAGTCATTTTAGCTGATTAACACAGGCCTTCGGGCATAAAGATGTTCAGAAATACTGTTTCATGAAGATGTACTGTACAGTTGCAATCTTTGTTAGTGGACCCAAGCAGACTGCGATTGATAACTCAAATGCGTTTAAGCCCACAGTGAACATCCAAATTTAGGTTATTCACAATTCTGAAAACTGAAGCTTGCATACCAATCAGCAATTATATGCATTTCAAAGAGAATAAATGACAAAAAATGTAGAGATTTACCTTGATCAGCTTTAGTAAATTTAGACGAGCGATAGCTTTTGGATGATCAAGCCTTGCAATGAGCAAGCATGTCAAACCATTTACAGCTAGTGTGGTGTTGATACGTGCAGATTTTCTGCAATAAAGTCATATGATCACACTAATTAAAATGAAAATCTAATAGCAAAGAAGGAAAGGAATGCGACAAAATGGAAGACAGAGATATAAAACTATTTCCAGGTGGTCATATGCTCACAAAATATATAGTACATACAAAGATCTCTTGGTTTTGCTGTTTCAAAATTAAAGACTGTTTTGGACTTTATGCGTGTAAAACTAGGGATCCGTAGGGATCCGAACAATGAGACTCTTCATTTATAACAATAAGAGGCTCCAATATAATCAATGCTAAATAATATAGACAATATCAAATAACTATGACATTTGCCGATTCAGTGATTCCATACTATAGTTACATGAGCATTCTCTGACATTCCCCCTCAGAATTCGACTTAGAATATAAGGGTCATCAGGCATGAAACAAGATGCAATGACCTTAGGGCGGCAGTTCTTTGTTCATAAGCTTTTCATGCAAAACTAAGTTGCCAATCAAATATTCAGAACGCAATAAGATTCTAATTATAGGAAAAATAAACAGAGGAATTAGAATATTGTACGTGATGATTTTCAAGAACGGCTCCAGAATGTGCACAAAGTACTGGTCAGGACAGCACTGGAAAAACTTAATGAGCTTCTGAACTGCATCTTTTTTCTGCAGCGCTTGTTCAGCTTTCCTATTGTCATTGTCATGAGCTAAGCAAACAGCAATAGAATCTAATGCTGTGACAGACCAAAACTCATCCTCAAGAAGGTCTAAATACACATCCAGACCACCATGTGCTCTTAATTGCTCACTTGAATTGCGAGAAGCATGAGCCATGTCACACAATAAAGGCAAGGCATATCGTTTCAAGGGAGAATTTGATGTGATGAAGTGCATCAAATGGGGAATGATCCCATTTTCAGCAGCTTGTTCTTGCCTTCTCTTATTTATCTTGCATAAATTGAACAGTGCGTTCAGGACCTTGAGAAAAGATCAACAAAATTAAGCTCTAGTCAAATCAGGATCTCTTGTCAAGAAGCAGTATTAGGTAAAAAATAGTAATGCAGATATTTCTTGGAGAAAGAAAGGAAAATAGTTTCGTAAAACCAGCAATAGGGCAATAAAAGTGGAAATTTGAGTCAAAAAAGCCTGAAATGTATTGAAGTAAGAGGTTGTGAAATGTTATACATGCTAGACTTACAGTCTTCTTGAAAGTGAACTTTTCCCCTTAATCCAAAACTAAACTTTTTCGCAATTACCATGAAAGACTTAAAAAGCAGGGAACAAAAGCTTCATGAGGAATATAAACATAATTGATATAGACGATAACCCAAAAGTCAAACAAAATGTTATTCACAGTCATGATTGGATCTTCATACATCAAATGGAAGGCTCAAAAAGATTTTCTTTATATACCTCATGATGTATTTGTGATACAAGATACCCTTCCTTGAGTTCAAGATTCGGTATCAAGTACTTTATTACTTCTGCACGTTGAAGATTCTCTAAGCAATTAGCATCAGTTGACAGATAATTAACACACTTCAGTACCTAGAAAAATGGCAACAGCAAAAATTGTTTGGAAGTTAAACTACATATTATGTGGGATATCGTCAAAGGAAGGGTTTTGCACCACACCTTTAACAGAATAGGAGGCTGCACTCTATTGAACATCTGGAAAAGCCGACCTAGCAAGCTTTGGCTGCACATGTATGACTTTACTATTGTATCTGCTTGAGAAAACTCCAAAAGAAGATCTGAAACTTTTTCCAGGTACTCCCTCGCATCATCTGCATTCGATGATGACACTGTGTGGGAAAGTAACCCAGTAGAAGTTTCATCACCTTGTCTAGCATTCAATACACCTGAAGTTGTCCGCAATACACTCCCAGATGTTGGAACAGCTACATAATTAGATGCTAAAGACCCTAATCTCTTTGGAACAGCTTTGAAAGACATTCTAGCACTGGAGTCAAGATTCCCATTTTCTCTTCCCCGTTGAGCTACATCTTCATAACCATAAAAGTAATATATTCACAAGGAAACACAAGCGACAGACAAACTACAAAAAATGAAGGCAGAGAACTATGTTAATATACTCATTAATACAGGCTAAAACTGGGTTCAACGTAGGTGCAGACTACCAACAGAGGATGCCAAATATATTACACCAGAAGCTTCGGGATGCTGAAATCAAAATGGCAGGTATTTTGGCATCCAGCACTTTCTTTAGTAGTCTTCAAACAACCAACAATCCAATAACTCTCACTTATATAAGCGTAAGAATAGAAATTTATATTCCATCTCCTTCGACCTGTTATTAAATGGTAACTAATTGACAGTAAGTCAGTTGTACTTCCCTCCCTTTCATAAAGGTCATAAACTACTACCAATTCCTTCCTTACTATTATTTATATGTAAATACGCAGATTATTAAACAATTATCTAAATATTTCAATTCGATTGTTATAAGTAGAAGACCTAAAAGATTATGAACCACAAATTGGAAATCAGAATTTTCTTCCATCATTTAAATTAACTCATTCTGTAATCATAAAATGAAATGATTACTTTCAGCCGGACGGAAGATGCTTTTGATAATTTCTATTAGGATTTCCAGTGTGCTCACAGTAGTTTGGTGCATCTTGCTCAGTATAAGGGGGTGAAAAAGCAAAAATTTTCCTGGATATTTATCTTGCATGAGAGATCGCCTTTTCGCATATTTCATTAATCTAAGTGTGCAACAGCTAGGTTAGAATAAGTTGTGATTAGCAGGCAGGACTTGTACTACATATACTGCTCAAATTTGACTATGATTTATTATTTATGACTTGAAATTCAAATTTGACCTTCTAATTTATGACCTAATTAAGCACATGTTTTATGCGAAGCAAGTGGTTTATGAAAAAAGTGTTAGACTAGTAATTTCCTTTTTTAGCAAGCCTTTATTTCTGAATTCATGTGGCTTTTATTTTTTCCATGCATGCTCGCTTAATTCGTATCCACTAACACACTTGGTATCTAGAATATCACATCATTTCTCTGCTTTTCTAAATGCCATCAGAGCCAACCAATGGATAGCCTGAGAAAAAATAAGTTGGTGGTTAGTATGAGAAAAACATGATTTAGGGGTAATACTGTGCTCAACGTCAAGACTCACATCAAAGTGAGGTGAGGAAGATCAATAAATGAAAAAAATCATGGAGATTCCGATGCAAGTGTTGGATCCGTAGCCAACGGGCCAAGGCTGAGTCATGTGTGTGAGGTGCGTGTGAGAGAGAGAGAAGGGTCATTCGCTGTATATTTTTGGGGAGACGGGATTAGTGGGGGCTAAACAAGCAGACGGGAGAGACTCTAGCCTCCTAAAAGTTAGGAACTAGTGTGTGTTGTGGGTTCCATCGGCAAGTCATAACGAAGAGGCAGAAGAAGATTTTTCTGTTTTTAGGACATGATAAATCAGAACATTATATCTCCTTTTTGCCTCATGCACTAACGCTCGACTTGACCTACATTGCAAGTATAAATAGAGAAAAAGGATTGCGCTAAGAAAGTGAAAAAATCCGATTTAAAATATTGTTCTTTGTTTCTCTACAGGTTAAACTCGGTTGACAATCACAAATAGGTATAGAGTGCTTGGCTTAGTATCTTCTTTCATGCATCTTGTTCTCTTATAAATTCTTTATTGAAACAAGAAGCATGGTATGTGGCGCACAATTAGAACAGTGTTACCTGTGAATTCTGCCATCAAAAACTCTAGTTCGCCATTAGGTTTCTTATCAGAGCTATGTAATAAAGGGAGAACACTTTCATGTCTTTCTAATCCTGATAACTGACGAACATACTCGAGCTGTCCAGAGAAGCGTCGAGACGGAGGCTCTTTCTCTAGCAGGCCAAGAAGAGGCCTAACTTGTTCTTCTTGTGTGGTAGCTGACATTGATAAACCATTTGATGCACGTTCTGTTAGTTTTTGAGGGCAATCAGTTGATGTCCGATTAGTGGTAGTATTGATACGTTGCTGTCTAAGTTCAAGATCTCCCTGAGAAGGATCAGTTTTCCATTGATCAACTGATGAATCCCTAGAAACTAGAATTGGACTTTTTTCTGACAATGTAACTTCCGCAGCCGCAATGTTAAATTGAGTCATATCACCCACAAGGTAACTAGCATCTGATTTTTGAAGATGGAAGCTCGATGCATGTGAAGGTTCCAATTGATGATCAATTATTCCATACCTCTCTGACGGGAGATCTTGCTGATCTACGGAAGATAACAGTGTCTCATTCTGTCCACTCCCAACAGATGCTGAAGCTAGTCGAGTTGCCTCATTTAAGCTATAAAGGGTGTTTATGAGCCTAAGGAGTATTCCGTTCTTTGCAGCTATGCAGCAGAAATCATTTCTAGGGGTAGATCGCTGAAGCTTAAAGACCTGCCACATGCCATCAATAGCCAGATGAACCATTTCCCTGAGATATGAACTCCTCTGTCAGCTAATATTGTGCTTAACTTTAGAATATACATTTTACCAAAAACATTTATCATAGAAAGAGTAGGTTAAGAAAGATATTCCCAGGCACACCCAGAATATACATGATAGAAGCATGTTGAAAGAACATAAACATGGAAGGCATTTAGGTTGATGTACATTACACTACTGCTGGCGGAAAAAGAAAAAAGTGCATTACGCCACATTTGTGCCACTTCTGGTGCATTTTTAAACATCTACTAGATTTGCCCTCACAATGATATAGGCTATGCCAATTGCCAAGGACCATTCAACTAAAACGCTTAAGCTGTCAAGAACTATGTAATGTTTTATCTCTTACGAAATGTGGATGAAGCACAGATCAATTTATCTTGTGCTGAAGCTTAATTTCATAAGAAAACTGGAAAGATCGAACTGTAGACCATATGGACGGAGAAGCTCTTGTACTGTGTCAACGACCACTTCAAAAATTGATTTATTATAATCTCTACCATTTAAAAATTAAAACAGCAATAACTAATAGTTTCCTTCATAGCACAAAAAACTAACCTATACTTGGCATAGTCAGCCTCAAGAAATCCCACCAAAACAGGTATTCCACGGCAAGCTATGAACATTTGCAATGTCAAAGAGCTGCATCAAACCCCAAGAATCAAAATTTCATTATTTCCAAAGTATAAAGAAATCGAACTAAACTATATACAAATAACTCTATACCTCGATTGACAAAGCTGCTGCAAAAAATAAGCTGCTTGTATACGAATCTCCCGAGGACGATCAGGTGCGGCAAAGCTCATTATAACGGGAATCTGACATGTAATTTTTCGACAAAATCGATGCACCGCTAAGGTATTTGACATCAGCCAATGTAATAATTCATGCATTTATGCATAGTTAATGTAAATAGTCAATGTAATCAGGCTATAAATAGGACGCTGATTGATAGCTGTTTGCAGATGACACTAGTATTGGAGATTTTGTCCCTTAATATTATTATGGAATGTAAACAATTTGTATCCCCTTGTATAAATACAAAAATTATGAAATTAGGCTCTATAATCCCACATTGTATCAGAATCAGGTTCTAAACTGCGAGTCAAACAGGGGAAAACGCCAAGATTCAAGAAACGCTACGGGAGATGAATCCAGGTTAGGCTTAAGTTCCCTTGATGAGCTTAGGCTTTCAACGTCTCTTGCAATCAACTTGCCATTGAGAAATTGAATTTAAGAAATTTGAGGGAGTGTCCCAAGCAGTGGAGCTTGGTACTGAGGGGAGACGCAGGGTTGGGTACCTCATAGGTTATACAAAAGAGACTGAGCCAAACAATGCAACAGCATTTTTCTTATTGGCGGACAAAGAACTTGTTGGCGTCTTCATGGTTGGTGAATTTGATGGCACCCACCATTAGAAGAACATTAATGTGCCTTCACACAACATGAAAAATCTCAGAGTTGATCTAAGAAGAATACTTTGATGGATGAAACACCTTTGAGTGTTCAAGGAAAAAACCAAGCTTTAGTAAATGAAACAACGTAAAAGAGGTTTTTGAAGCGTCATTCTCTATTCTGATTGTACTGAAGCTCTTAGTCTCATTTTGAGAGGCTGTTCTCAGAATCACCCATTGCAAGACATCATTGAGGACACTAGGATACTCCTCAATTACAACTGGAGGGTCCTACCTACCTTTTCTCTAGGAAGAAATTCTTTTAGCCGATGTTTTAGCTAAAATGTCTCATACTCTAGACAATCCTCTCTGTATTTTTGACCACCCTCCACCTATTTAAAAAAGGAGGAAGGGTTGAACTGCTTTGTCTTCTGGCTCTTTTGTAATGATTTCGAGTTTCAATTCAAAAAAAGAAAAAAAAAAACAACGTAAAAGAAATGTCACCGATTAAAGGCAAAAGAGATGCCTGTAAATAGAGCCTCTACCTGCGCTTACCAAAGTCCACATTGAGAGAATACAACTCTATATTTCCCCTTATCATTCTTCGCAACTTCTATTCTCCTTGTATTCATTTTTAACAAGTTACCGGAGCAATCTCAAATTTTTTATGCTTTACTATATGCCCTCATTTTTGGAACCGTATGAAGATAGAGTTTCTATTGCTTCTAGAGTTTGAAACCCCTCTCCGGATGTGATGACCTTAGTCACCGGATTCCTCCTCAGGCATTGGTAACTAGTCTCATAACATCATTCCTTTTCACAATTCCTATCCACTTTTCAATTTCTCTCTCTCCTTCCAATTTCATCGGATCAAATCTGGGAAATTGAGCTCGAAGATAGGCATGATCAATACAACCTCCCAGTTTGAGGGGGAGCATTGATTGACATCGTGCTCTTATTATCACATGGTGCTGCATGCTGCCTTGGTGAATATTAATTCCCTCATCATTGCATTTTATTTCTGTGTCAACTCATGTATTTGGGTATATTGGATAGTTAGGATCAGTTTAGGTACACCAGTTTAAAGTGCAGACATTTTGCAATTAAATTGGCCAAACAGTGTGACCACTGTTTTTGTTTATGTATTCCATATTCAATAGCACGAACACACACAACAATCAGTCTCTGAATTTCTCCATGCTCTGCAATAAGTCTTATTCCATCAATTTCAACGAATCTAATCCTAGGTTATTTGCAGGCATTACTAAATGAGATAATCATATATAAACATAGTAAACATCTAATTAGCAAATATAGATAATCAAAGAAATTAGTAAAGGTTACATGAAAAATATATAGAAAGAATTAAAAAGAACACTGATGGTCTTTACCAATCCAACTAGACAAGCATTTTCTTGAAAATCAGTGTTATCCTTGATTATTTGATTTAGAAGTTGAAGCACCGAACATATAACCTGCAAAGACCAAAGAAGTTTAAGTGTCTTCATGTGCTAGAAAGTGAGTTGTTAGCTGCACCTAAAAATAACACCAGTAAAAGCCAACTACGGCATGGTCATAGACAACATACACGAGTTTTAGGAACATCGAGCAAGTCTGTTAGAGGAAGTAAGCCATGCTGAGTAATATAAACAATCTTCTGCTCTGGACGTTGCAGAAAGATAGTAACAAGTTTCTGACATGCAGAAACAATTACTTCTTCTGGTTCTTCTGGTCTTAATGACCCAACTAATTTGCTGAACTCAACAGCCTAAAAGCAAAATTATGATTAAAAAAATCATAAGTCAAGCTCAATTTATATGGCACCCTTATGCCCACAACTCACTTCTTATATTACCTGCGTTAAAGAACTTTTCATCTGCAAAAGGGTAGTTTTTCCAATATACAAGGCTTAATTGATGGGCAATCAAGAGATGGATTATGGATACCATAAAATTGATTTAAAAAATGATGCAGAGATTAGTAGTACTGAAAAGGTTAAACACTTAGACAAGAAATAAAAGAAAATTAAATGACAAAGTATCTAAAAGCAGAAGAACCTTCTTTCTTTTGCAAGGGATGGTTTGTCTATGATTCCTGGAGAATAGGAGTCCCACATCTAAACGTGTTTAGAAAAGTCGGGAGCAAGAAAAATGAGATGAGAGAAAATGGAGAGAAAATGTGATCACTTTTTCAGTTTAGATAAACAAGAGAAAATAGATAATAAAAAAAATGAACAAATACCTGAATGACTAAAATATCCTTCTATGTTAAAATATATCATGTTTAAAATCAAATTAAATAACACAGTGAAAAAATCATATCAACATTAGCATCATTAAATAATTTAAAATCAAATTATTTGATAAAGATATATTTTCATATTACTATCTTTTTAAACCAAATAACTCAGAGAAAAATGTTATTTTTCAAGGTAAAAAAATAAAAAGTGGATAATGTTTTGAAATTAGATGTAATAAAAGGAAATAAATGAATTACATATTATTCAATATTATTAATAAATGCTAAAAACATAATATAAAAATGAAGGATGGAGGGCATGAAGGGAAAATGAGCTTTCTCCTCATTTTCTCTCCATGGGAGAAAATGGGGTGCTGCTTCTCAAGGGGCTTCCATCATCCGTAGGGGACTAGGGGGAAATAACTAATAAGTCCTGTGTTTTCACTTTACCTCATTTTCTTTTCTCCCCCATCTAAATGGGAAAAAGCTCACTTCTACCCTAATTTTTCTCCCTTGTTTTCTTTCCTCCGTCATTTTCTCTCCATCCAAATCAAGGGTTAAGGACGTCTAAAGAATTGTTCTACTACACACCTATGTCAAAATAATAAAATTACAGAAAGAATTTTGCTGTTCAATAGATGTTTGGTACCTGTAGAGGAAAGAGATTTTCTCCAGGAAGTTTTTCATCAAAGATCTGATTAAAAAAAAATGAAAGTGAAAAACTCAAAGACTGAAAATGTGGAACTCAGAAAGAGATTAGTTTTCGGCACTGAGTAACGTACCAAACCATCTATATCAGCCACATCATCTTTTAGAACTCCCATCATTAGCTGCAACAGGTTCCCACCATTGTTTGCCTGTCCAATTTCACTCTCCTTTTCCCACTGTTTCCGAGCAATTGTATCCCTCAACTCTCTAGCCAGCTCATTCTTCCCAGGATTATTCATAGATGCAATAGCTTTCCCAACATTTGACGTGGATGCAGACGTGGAAGCTTCAGCTGCCAGCTCCCCAGGGTGCTTATCTAACGGATGAAACAGATCATCTAAAGAGGCATCTCCAGGAGGGTCAGTAAATCTACTCAGCTCATTTCCCTCCATAAGTTGTGACATCTTCCTAGCCTTCATATAGCAATCAGACAAGTCTCATGAGAGTTGTTTTTTTTTCTTTTCTGAAAAATAAAATCAACGAAACATTTTCTTAATTAATTTAGCACAGATAAAGAGAATGTGAAGGTCAGAAGCCCCTTCATAGAGTAATGGATGGGCTGCAACATAAAAACGAAATTTATTGCATAAGAACAATTGAGAGATCCATTCAAAAGTGATTACTAATTTTTTAAATCATATGGCACCAAATTAAGGATGAAATGATACAGAATTGACAGTAGTGGAATCTAATTAAAATACTGGTAGATTTATGTTAGAGTTAGGAAATATCCTTTCATTTATTGCAGACGTTGTAATCTGCTTGATAGTAGGGATAGCATAATCATAGGAATTTAGGATAATAATTAGCCATAATGATATAGGCTCCCGCTGTGTGTATACATTTAATTTCGTCTATAAGCAGGAAATTCAGTCACGCCAAACTCCAAAAGTAATATGAAGAACATTCAAGGGAAAAGAAAAAGAAACAGAAAACAGGAGATCTTCAAGGAAACTTTTGATATTCTTAATTTAATCAAGCCAGAAAACATAAAATGCTTGAACCAACTAGAATAATATATGATGTTTTACCTTCAGGGAAACAATAACTTGACTTTTTAGTCCAAAAATAGTTGATTTATCACCATTGTTAATTGAACTGCCTTTTCCTCCCAGCTTTCTGTCCACTTCTGATTGCTGATATCCATTCATCATTTCTTCGTTCTCTCTTGGATGAGCAATGTTGTGATCACCAGTGAGCTCGGATCTTCCCTCTTCTTCATTAGAAGAAATTTTGTTAGGACCACTTGGTGGAGATGACCTCTCAGAAATGGACGAGGCAAGAACTTGATCAGATGGAACTGGCTTCTCGATTGACTCATCAAGCAAATGAGAATTTGAATTATTGGCATCAGGTTTCCTTCTATCAGAAGCCTCAGTTGACAACTGTTTAGCTGAATCCTATAACCATAAAAATAGAAGTCATGACGTGATGGAAATACCTTGGAACTGAAGTGAATAGTTGCCAGATTAAATTCCACTATAGAGAAATGATTCTCAGAAATTTACATCATCAATAACCAATCTCCCCACAGAGGAACTTTCACCAGATCTCATATGATCAACACCAGGAACCTCTGCGGCCACTGAATCATCTTCCACTATATTTCTGCATGAGATAGCAATCGTGTACATATCACAAAATTAATGCAACGCCCAGAACAGTGTTTATGAAGAACAGCTTTAAAGTAACAATGACCAGAAACAAAAATGAGCACTAGTCCCTAGTATCAATATAACACACGTCAAAAGGAATTCTATTTTATGGTTCAAATGGAATGAGTAAAACGTATTCAAATCCAAAAGTGAAGCTATCCGAGGAAAAGGCACTTAAGGTGCAAGAAAAAAATTATAATTGCCAATCCCTTGATTCTATGCCTGAATACAGGGTTAAAAAATAAAAAATTACAATAAATCCAAGAAATAATCACACAGTAAGTAAAATAGCTAAAATTTCTATGGGTGTTATGCACTTCTTTCTTTTTTCGCTTATCTTAAACTGACATGAATATAGGGATGTTAAATTTGTCCCGTCCCGGTCTTGGTGAGTTCGGGACAGGACAAAAAAAATTTCGGAACAGGACGCGGGATGGGGTCGTCCTGTCCCATTCTGGGGTTTTTTTTAAAAATTATTTATTAATAATTATTATTAGATTACTCAATTTACTTATTAATAATAATTATTATTATTTTTATAGTGATTTTTAACTCTTAAGTTGTAGTATTATCTCAATAAAATCTCTTTCCTCAATAAAATAATTCATAAAACCATTATATAGTGTTTCTTTTACCCTATTTTTTTTACAGTATTATTTTTACATCTTTTTTTATACTATATAATTGAGCTTTCAACATAATATTTTTTTTTATAATGTTTTTATCTTTAGAAGCTCAATGAAAAATAAACATTATAATATAAAAAAAATTTCATACAAAAAAATTATTGCGTTTTTTTTTTAAAAAAAAGAGAGATGGGACATCCAGGTTCCGTCTCAGTCCCGTCAGGATGGGACAGGACACGGGACAAAAATCCCATCCCGTCCCTCTTCACTGGGATGGGATCGGGATGGGCTGGTCGCAATACCGTCCCATGAACAGCCCTATTGAATAGTAATACTCATGAGAAACCAAAGAAGATATTAAGTTGCATGGTTATTTTCTTAAGCTTCTTGTTTTTCATTTTCTATCTTCATTCCCTGTGTTTTTTTGGTTCTTTTCCCTTTTTGGATGCTTTCTTATCCTCATCTGATTTTTTTTCTCTCCCGTATCTAATATAATTTTTGTTCTAACCAAGTAAAAAATACACGCAATTTTACAAATAACAAAATTTTGATAAAAACACTCGGAAGTTTCTAGGTTGGTCCACAAGAAATATCATAGCAACTGAGAAATAAGACATCAAACTAATTACTTTATTGTTCTGCCATGACGAAGTGATGACTGCAGAGCACGTCTACAGTTCTGTATCCAAGGATGAGAGAGCAAAGTTTTAGCATCTGGCCTTTGCCTAGCATCCTGTAATGTGCAGCAGAATTTTCAAGAAAAATCTTAGGATCTCTGTTCTGGCTAAAAATATTTAATTGAAACGGTAGAGTATTTATAGGGACCAAGTTCTGCACTCGAATCTCACAATACAAACCATGAATCAAGCAAAAATGTTGGCGTCTAATTCCACAAAATAAGCCATTGATTAAACATAAGCTGTAGAAACATACACAAATTAAGCCATAATTCAAGGGGAAGATAAAGTAGTCACCAAAAAATAAGAAGAAAATTTAAAAAAAAAGATATTCGGACTGTTTGGGTATCACCCGCGTTAGGTGGTTTTCCCTTCAGTCTCTGGTCCCAAAAAAATTAAAAAAAAAGAAAAAGAAAATAAGATGCTAAAAGTCATGTAGGAAAATCTGTAATTCCCAATACGCCCTAAAATTGGAAATGCTTAGAGTTAGGTCTATCTGTTTCTTATTTTAGCGCAATTTTTCTATCAACTAGCAATTCACCTAACATCAACTAGCAACACTATATAGATTAAGGAACACGTTCAAACTCATGAAAAGTTATCCAATTTACCTTCTTAAAGCATTGGCACAAAAAATCAGTCATGTCAGCAGACAAGCTATCTGGAAGTGGAGGATGTTCATCCTGAGAGGAAAAATTAAAGGGTAAAAAGTAAGCAAGCTTGCGCTGCACAGCATAAATCAAACCAAATTACGATTCTATAAAACAAGATATGAACCTCAAATGATCCATTTTTTAACGAAAAGATCTTTGCGTCAAAAAAATCCATATGCTGTTATCTGGCTAAATTATTGAAGAGTGCAAGGTTGAATGATCCTATATTGAGCATTAATTAAAAAGAAACGGAAAAGCACACCTGAACAATACGAAAGAGTGCTGGCATAGGCTGTAGATCAAAATAAGGGGGTACGCATGTAAGAAGTTCAATAACAGTACAGCCAACACTCCAAATGTCAGAGGCAGCACAAACCCCAGACATCTCTATAACCTGAAAATCAAACCAAAATCACCTAAACAAGCTCTCGATGCAATATTATGGGAGTCCATTAGCGTACTTGACGGTACATAGTTCTAAGACGCATTTATGACTTCAGAAAAAGACCACTTTAGTGGCGTCTGCGGTAAACTATTTATAAGAACATCTAGTAGATAGATCATGTTAGGCTCTTAAATAATCTCAATATATGAATTAACATTGGTAGAGTGAAATACTTAGGTGGGAAGTTTATCATGCCCTAGTTCCTGATGGTAATAGAGAAGCTAGCCATCAATTTTATGATTTTGGCAGGCAAAAGAAGCAAAGCTTCATGGTATTGTACAGTCTTTGCTGGTTAGTGATGTGTTAGGCTCCTAAACACTTCAGCCCGTGCTGCTTTTTTAGCATCAGCTTTTATTTAAGGAGGATTCCCTATCCTCTGTTCTGTTACTTTTGCATAGTTTCCTCTTCTCGTCAACATTTCCTCCGTTCATCTTAAAAAATGGCAAATAAAACCCAAAGCCGAAGATGCTGATCATGTGACAAAATGCCACAGACAGTGCCAAGATATAAATTTGTAATATAAAATGAATTATTAAGGCAGCTTAGTTTAATAGATAACAAAATAAAAATTTCTATAAATAATACAGATGATCAAACCAAGCCTGTAAACCGTAGGGATGCATATTTTAGACAGATGGATGATACCAATAAAATCGAAGTCAACATAATACCTAGTCAATGAATGCATAAAGTATTAACTACATAGCACGTTTATACAAGCTGTTGCTTCTGGCAACAAGTGAAAATTAGAATTTATATGCACAGAAACAACCAAGTCAAGTAAATAAAGCGTTATAAAAGTCGAATAGTATTTATGAGAAACAAATGGATGAAGGTGACTTCGTGAAAAACCCTAGCATGCTAATAAAATCCATGTAAAACATGAAAATGATCATTATACTAAGTGAACAGAATTTAGCTACAGAATATTGCACAATTAATACCTCTGGGGCCATCCAATATGGTGTTCCAACAACAGAATGAGTATTGACATCAGCCTCAGTCAATTTTGTAGCTACACCAAAATCAGCAAGTTTAACGAGACCCTAAAGGCAGATGTTGCAATATAATTAGTAAGATTCATTCAAATTGCTAACATATGCTATGAAAAAGCCGAATCAATATAATGAGAGAAGAGGCCATTAAAAATCACGTCTAGATCAAGAATCAAAATCAATATAATCAATATAGCAACCAATATCAGTTTACAAGGTAAAATCTATAAGGAACCACACAACCTTGGGTTTAATTGTGGATGAATAAAAGAGGAAAGTATCTAACATCATGTACGAGACCCAAATCAAGACGATGGAGGGAGGCGGGAAACTGTCGAAGAAGAAGAAGAATGAATAGAACAGGCAAGGAATTCTGATTCTTAATGAAAACATAGGAAGCATCTCTCATTAGGCCAACCTTCCATTTCAGTGCTATTTTTGGAGCTAACAAAATGTTATAGAAGTCTAGCCAGTAGGTACTCTTCACTTACACTTATTGAAGATGATGAGGATACTTTTATGGGGACCGCTGGGTTTCCTGCACCACTCCGCAATTTCAGAAACTAGCAAGGTGGGACAGGAGTGTGATTTAGTAGATGTTATGGTTGCCTTTGATATTCAAGAACTATGGCTTTTGAAACTTGATGACCTTAAGATGGAGTTCATAGGACAGAATCAAGTCTTGAGAAGCACTTGTGAGTGCTTGGTTTTCAAATTTTGGCTGATGAATGGTATGAGGTAGAGGACATCTGAAGGGAATACATCTAAGCTGAGGGAAGAAGCCACAGGTCCCAACTTCAACTTATCACCTCAAGGGCAAAGCAAAATCCCGTGGGCCAGGAAATGATGGGACCATAATTATTGGCCCTGGCTAGTAACTAATTCATGGGTTCTAAGGTGTGATGAGTATGTGCGTGGGTGTGTGTGTGTGAGAGAGAGAGAGAGGGGGGGGGTATTGGGGAATATGTTGTGGGTGATAGGGTGAATGAAGGTAAGTAATACGTGAATAGTGTTAATGAGAGTCTCTGGTCTCTTAAATACAAGTTTAAGGTGGTTTGCTCAAGTGTTCTCCGCTTATTTCACTATTTGAAGACCGTTTGTAGCTTGAGTTTCATCAAAAGCCCATTTCAAAAGGCTAGTCTAGGCTAGTCTGCTAGATGGTTAAACCTCTTAGACTTACAAGCCCACCTCCGTAGCTAAAGCTCTTTACTGTAAGATTCATAACAATGCACCTTTATTCAAAAGCCAAAGTTGGTAGCCTACTCTACAAGAACTGGTCCGTTGGTAGCCCTTTACTTTGTGGCAACTGCACTCGACTCCCAATACCTTCTTCGCCTCTAAAAATCAGTTCATGAGGGTAGAGAACCATGCCACTTATGCACCACAAGAAATGCGAGACACAAACACAATAAAACCTTTTCAAGTGGAAGGGAGGAGAAATATTTAAGGTACAGTAAGAACTAACTGCCTAAAATATCAGAACTAGGAAAAAGGGAAAAAGGGAAGCATTACCTCTTTAGTTGTCAATATGTTTGCACCTTTAATATCTCGATGGATTACCCCCTGTTCATGTAGATAAACCAAGCCTTCCAATACCTGTCTCATATGACACGCTTAGCATAAAAACTGAAGTAACTGAGACTGGAAAAACTTCAAATAGTATTAGACTAACCAACCTGTGCAATATAAACAGCAACCAATGATTCTGGAAAAGGTCCAAATTTATTTGGCTTGATAATATTCGCAAGTGAGCCATTCTCCACATATCTTTTCAGTTGCAAACATGCAGTAAAATCCAGTGTTACTTTTAAGTACTTCCAAATGATGAATTATAACCATACACTGTGAGAATGAGTTGAGCCTACTTACTCAAGGATTATATGCAGGTGAGTCTTTGTCTTTGAAGATCCGAGATACTTTACAATGTTTTTATGATTCAACATCTGCAAAATAGTGATTGTTTCCATATGCGGCAATACACAATGAGGCCAAGCCCTTTTCAAAGGAGCTTGCAAATCAGAATCCCAAGTTTATTGTAAGATAAACTCAGCAATCATCCACCAACAATAAAGAGCAAACATGTACTGGTAATTGTCAATTTAAGTTTCTTAAACACTAATAAGAGAACTGGGCAGTTTGCACAATACTAGTTATTGCTATATTGTTCAGAAACCATGTGCACAAAGAAGTTCTTGTCACGTTTAATGTTAAAAAACAGATCTTTGGATCACATGCACCAGAGTCTTGAGATGGAGTGTGGATATGGTTAAAAATTTAAATCATGCACATCGATCAAATAACAGCAATTTTGCCACTTCATAAAAGATATTTCGCAGTTGATCCACTGCAAATTTATCAGTTCATAAGTCTTTTTCATTGCAATATCACCTCCAAAATGTTGAATGTTTTACCACCTAAAGCTTCCACGCACAACATATTCACAGGTCAAGATAATACCACGACAATTACTAAGAAAAAGGAATATGCAAAAGAAAATTTAGATCACATATAAAAATTGATAAATAAATACCTTCAACAGATCAATCTCTTGCTGGAAACATTAATGGATCCATCCATTGACAGTCACGAAAGGCAAAACAGAACCCAATTAGTAGATAAATGCAATAGAAAATAACAGCTACCATAATGGCATAAAGAGGAAAAGAATACAGAAATAAAATGAGAGAAATCAAGTTTTCATACCATGATGATGTTGAGGTCTTCCTGAGCAATATTCTCCAAGGAAACTTGTTTAATTGCAACAAAGTCTCCGTTCTCCAAGTCCAAACCCTTGTAAACCCGACCATATGCTCCTTTCCCAATCTCATCTCCCAGCAGCTGCTCAAATTTTCACATGAAAGGAAAAATCAAAAGAGGAAAAGTAATCAGAGTTGGAAGTGAGGTAGTGAGCCATGCTCATCACAAACAAGAAAATAAAACCAACAAAGTAAAAGCAAGACTAAGCAAAGTCTGACAAGACACGATCGTTAATTTATACATGACCAATTAACATAAGCCATTACTTTTGGAATCAGAAAACTGAGACTAGGACACAATCTAGCTTTTTGGGAAAGTAAACTTTATACGATAAGATGAGAACCACGACAAAGGAGGATAAGACAGTCTGTTAAAGAAAAAGAACAGAGTAAAACGAATTAAGAAAATAACAATGCCACCCAATCCCTATTCATGTAGGTCAAAAAGACTTCCTTCAAGCAACTATGAAAAGAACAATAAACAGAAGTAAGGGAAATGACCATTCCCATATGTCACTGAGAGTCGCTGAAGCACCGTTATAAATTCGTAGCTCAAATTATCACTCACTGAGGTTGGGATATCACAAAGAAGTACAACATAAGAAATGTGCCAATAAGCTAATTTAAGAACCTGGTTTATCACACCCATTTCAACATCAGAAAAAGAAGCTCGACATATTTTTAAGTGATATTTTATACCCAAGATGCGCCCATATTAAACTTTCAATGGTAATTGACAACTGGAGAAAATTCACAAGTTACAAGGACAATGGGGGAAAAAATAACTGTTCGTTCCTTAATGAAAACATTTGGCTACAATCAATAATATCATCCCTCAAATCCAATTTCCGCCAAAACGTATTCACTGCAAAGCCATTAGCATTGAATTGACCTTGTACTTTAATACTTGCAAAGATTTATTTCATGTTTTTAGTAATTTATTTTGCTTTTTTTTTCCCCATTTATTGTTGCTTCCTATAATTTGATTATTCAGAGTTATTATCAACGATTTATCCCTCATTGTTCATGCCTTTCTCCCTTTTTCTCCGGACATCCTGATCTCACTAGCCCAGTTCTTACTGCCTGCCACCGACATTAGTCTCTTCATATCACTTGTTCGCGCACTCTCCGTTAACAGTGTTCTCCCTCATGATCTGGCCACTGTTTACCACCGTTTTATTTTACCAGAGTATTCTATCAATACGACCACAGCCCACCTCCAGATCTCTGGTGCTACCAAGGCATTAAGCTAGCAATTTGTCTATTCAAAATGATGATTATATACATAAAAAAAAAAACATGGTGATGATTATACAAATGTCTTCGTTATACTATTAAAAGCCTAACTTATTTCTCGTAGACATATATTTTCTACTAAGATGAATAATAAAACTTCCGCCATCAGACTTCTTTCGTTGTTCCCTTATTTCAGAGGTTCAGTATCAGAATCACAACCAGCGCCTAGATATTTCTGCGTACTGGAATCGACATAACAGCATCGTCGCCCGTTTGTTTTTTTCTTATTGGCTAATTTCTCTCTTCTCTGTTTTTTTCAATATAACAATCCAAACTAACCAAAAGAAAATGAACAGTATGATATTCACAAACTAAATTTAATTTGAACTAAAAGGCAGAAATAATAATATAGTCCGAATAAGCTTGCAGTTGGACGGTGGCATAATGAAAATCGAAATGCTGCTTAAATTCCTTGTGATAAGTTTCCTCCGGGTTGTATTTGCATATGCTTCCTCAGTTTACCGGATGAAATCGAGAATAATAAAACTTCAATACTGCCTTTCTACAACCACATTTTCTACGAAGCCAAAACAGAATAACCAACAGCATAAAACATAGATAGAGACCGAAACAAGAGTGGAGAAATGAGCATATCAACCGAGTTTCTGTCCCTTGCTTACATATTTATTGTCGAGGGTCTTCGATTTCTGATATGCTGGGGCTGTAGGCTGCCGAGACATCTCTGAGAAAGAAAATTACCTCCAAGGAACCCTTAAACTTGTCCCGTCCAGGTAACGAATGACAGAGAGTTGGGTTACAGGGCGCATCCCGGCGGCGAAAGAAAGAGAAATAAAGGAGAAGGAACCACCAGTTGACAGGGTCTACGATCAGGTTTTGATGCTCATCATTCAAACAAATGTGAAACGAAAAAATGGCGAGAATGATTTTGATAACCGACCAAAATGGCCGAGGAGCGCTCCAGTTCAGTTCCCGATCGGCGCCATATATATGTGGCGTCCGTACGTATGTTTAAATTATCATTGTGTCATTGAAAATGTACATTTGATGATGATAACGGAAAACATAACACTCGTGGCTTTAATTTGGCACGGATATTTCTCATATTAAAACGGACTTTATTTATTGCCCTGACGAGAGAGCGTACGTGCATGATGCATGCATGGCCTGGCTCGCGGGAAATGGTTTTTCACTTGCTTTTTAATGTTAATATTTCTTCACTAATAAACAAATTCATAACAAAAATTATTGAAATTTAAAAGTATTAACTAACCTTAACTGAGCATATAGAACTAAATAAATTTAACTAGCGCGTTCCTCAGGTTGGTATGGAGCTTCCACCGTCCAAGTTTGACGGGGAGATACATGCGATCGTAATATTTTACGCTTGTCCCTCAGTTTTCAAAGACATTTTTCACAAAAGCTCAAAAAATAACGGTATTAAAAGGGAGAAAGGAGACATTCGGACTGTTTGGTACTACCCGCGTTAGGTGGTTTTCCCTTCAGTCTCTGGTCCGAAAAATAAAAAAAGGGAGAAAGGAGAAATGCCCCTCTCCTTCACAGGAGCTAAAATTGGTAACATAAAGAATAGGATTAATACAATTTTTATTCCTCAAATTCGTTTTTGTTTTAGTTTTTGTACTTCAAGTTTCAAACTATAAGTTTGGTCTTTTAAATTTTTTTCATTTAAAAAATTAGTTTCTATAATTCAATAAAAACTTGAACTATTTTACTTCTTAAGAGACTAAAACCAAAATGATAAAAAAAAACTTAAAGGATGAAAAATTATATTAACCTCAATTAGGAGTAATATCATCGTTCTTTACTATTTTTCATTCACAGACGTCATCCCATTCACTATTTGATCTGAAGATAAAGACTAATATATTAGTGGATGACAAGTCTATACAATTATAATGATATATGCTTAACCTTCAAAAACAAAAATTATCAAATTAGCGTGAGCACTCGAACATTTGAAACGTATTTGTTTAAAGAAATAAATATTTTTGTGGGAGGAAGTTCTTTAATGTTGAGTAAATAACGCTACAATGAGGATCAAGACATTTCTGTAGCTCCGTCATATTCTCCCTCCTCACTCTCAGATGCTAGCAGAAAAGTACCATACCCATTTAAGCAAGCTAAAAATGCGACTTGTACAACAAACGACATTGTTTGAAAAAAAAAAATCTCTATAAATGCTTGTTTGAGTCAATTGGATCTGCAAAATCAAGTACACGAGATGAAAGCAATGCGCATAATTCTCATTTCACTGTGAAGCTAATACGTGATAATTGATACGTCCATAATAAAAGCTTATTTTTCACAAACATCCCTGTTTATCATAAAATGCTTATTTTAAATTTTAACAAAAAAATAGCTCTCTCGAGAAACTTCAAAAACAAAATCAACATAAAACAAGAAACACTAACTTTAATTACTATTTTAATCTAAGCATGTAGTTGTGACTTGTGTATCAGAGATTGTAATAATTGTATACTCGCATATGAACAATAAAAAGAAATTATTGGCTTAAGCACACAGACCACGTAAATTTGTAAGTTTAAGGTTACACGTAATAGAATAAGTGCTGCTACATTCAAGGACACAAGCCGTCACAACAAAAGATCATGCCCCAGAACAGCTGAGATATTCAGAATATATTATGGGATCTACCCACTGAAACAATGTGTTTGTGATTCCTTTATAGGCATATAAAAGCTATATGAAATTTTCCTCACAATAAGAGGCCAATAATTCGGGGGGAAAAATGTAACAGAAAGTACAATAGGCAGCATATATGTTGTCAATTGAGCCTAAAAATATGTGCCAATAGCTTTCGAAATATTGCTTAGCTAGATAGGAAGAGAGCAATACGGATCAACTAGCTCAATTTCATGGACGCTAATGCCGCAGCTAGATCCATGGCCTCATTTATGTGTGATGCATCCACACCCTGAAACATGACATACATTGCACAAGTCAGTAAGACGGAGACAGAAGATATACCCAAACCTATAGCACAAACCACATGGAGAACTTTGTGCCGATTGCTGAAATAAATAGTCTAAGTTTTATTCACAGTCTTGATGTCAAAAATGTGTCCTTAAATGATTTAGAGAAGATATTCTATATGGAAGCACCCCCAGCCCCAGGGCTCAACTTGAATCTTGAGCAATGCACAGTGCACAAGCTGAAGAAAGCATTATATGGACTCAATCAAGCTGGGAATGAAAGACATCCACTCCATAGAATGCATATATAGTATGACAGAATATGTACATAATTAACATATCCAAAGATTTGATTGTGGATAGAGCATAGAGCACCGTGCACCCATGTAGCTGGCCTCACCTAGTGGAATAAGAGTTCTTGTTGATGTACATAATTACTATTGATTGGAATTATTCTTAGACTGCTAATCAAGGAATTACTCTTCTGTTAGCAGCTATTAGCAGCTCCCTCCCATGTGAATAAATACCCCGTAATTCCTCATTTCAACGTATCAGAAATTTTACCAGACATTTGTCATCTTTGTTGTTCAATTCTAACATGTATTTCTGAAACCTATATCCCACAATTTTCAAACCTCACCTAGGCAGGGCATTGTTTCGATTTTACCTGAATGTATTGCATGCATATCAAAGAGACACCAAGCCTAATATACCCCCAAAAAAAAGCAAGCACTGCCAAAAAAAAGCAAGCACTGCCGATTGCAACTAAATACCTATATGAATAATGAGTAAATACTAACCTGTCCGGTTGCAAGGCCACCTTTTCCTTTGCCACACCTTCCTTTTAAAGGTCCCAAAGCATTACTCAGCCAATCTGACACATCGAGCTTACTTTTATTTCCTTTCTCTGGCACCCCAGCGCAAACCACAGCTTTGTTTGTAGTTTCATCAATGCTAAAAACCATCACAGATAAATCCTGTGGATGGACCAGCATCGTCACAACTCAGAAATTTAGGTCATCATAAAATCCAATTGAAACATGTGAACAGAATAATTGAAGCATCTGCATACATATGATGACATCTACTGATATAGAAGTCCCAACAGAATATGCATTAACATAATCTGATCATTATATACAATCCTAGAGCCCATTTAGATCAATTATATATGATTTATTTGAGATATTGGCAGGAACCTTCTGCTCCATGACTTTCACAACTGCCTCTCTAACTGCAACTACATCCAGACCAACATCAACACGAGAAATGCAGAAAGATTTTCCATCTGAGGCAGCAAGCTCAGCCTTCTCAGTCGTCAGCTTTACAGCTTTCCGTTTGTTTTCTTCAGCAATCTGCTTTTGCGCTTTCCTCACTTGATCCTATGAACAGGTTACAGGTTATTACATACAAATTAGGACGAGTTCATACAAGAGATGAGAGGATATCAATAAGAAACAAACTACCAAAGTGGAAAAAGGAAGAAAGCATGAACTCACAAATTCATACCTGAAGGTGGGAAATCTTGGTCTTGATATCAGCTTTCTTAGCAGCAGGTATCGATATCGATTCAACACGGTTTTTAAGATAAGAAACTTTCTGCACAGAGATGCATAAATGCATTAGAGCAGAACAAAAATATCAATATTTAACAGAATTTATGTGAGATCTGACTTATAATAATAATATGCTTCACTAGTTTTGACGAGGCCCTCACAAGTGGTTGATCCACCTATCTAAAATCGTAGTTTCATGCTTATGAGCTATTTTCCATATATCAAAGTCTCTCATCAGAATTTAATTAATAAGAACCGAATGTCAAATGCATAGGACTAAGGATATCAACTTTCTTCTCCAGTCCACAGCTTCAGTTTTTTTTCAGTTTCATATAATCATAACCATTAAGCTTTTTGTCAATCACATTCCAGATAGATAATTTAAAGAAACAAACGAAATATCTATCAAATATGAAACAAGACAGATTAAGATGCAGTGACTCAATTTCATATTGAGAACAAATGACACTCCTTACAGACTACAGTTCATATTCTCGCCATTATAAAAAGAAATAAATTGAATAGTTTCCTTGTGCCAAAATCACATATGTTCAACCAATGAAATCTCAAAAGATACGCTAAAATGTAAAATGTACGTTAGAGCCGGTATAGGTTGAACCCCGCCAGCCTGCCAAAAATGGGGGGTTAGAGTTCACTAAAAGCCAATCTGCCAATAAATGAGAATTTTTAATCTGCATCGCCAAGCCCCGAAACCCACTACGGGTTAGCTTGCCAACCCGCAGGCTAATTATTTTTTTGTACTTTTTTAAAATTTTTTAATTATTATAACTACATTATTATATATATTATATTCTATCTAAAAATTTAAAAAAAATACCTATGTAATTTATATTGGTGCTTTCGATCAAATATTTCAAGGAAAAACAAAAATCTCATTACATTTTTTCTGGATATTGTATAACGAAAAATATTAAAACGCAAAAAAATTTGAAGGAAAAAAAAAAGTAAATAAGTGTGGGTAGGTGGGCCCTTGACGGGAGCCAACCCGCTTTCAAACAAGCCTTTTCAACCCTACCCATATAGGTTCAACCAGTCACGAGCCACCCCGAAACCCGTGGGTTAGCACGTATTACCAGCCTTACATTAGAAATCTAAAAACTATTTTTGGTCAGCAGTAACAGCATAAATATTAAAATTAAGCCGTTGTTAGCCTTTGACCTCCACTCCTGTTTACAAAATGATCACATGGAAATGGCAGGTCTCCTCTATTCCGTTTGCAATCAATAGGTGTCAGCCCAAGCTATAAACAGTTACACATTTAAGATTGGTTCATGCTTTCCAAATACGTTTATGCTCTAGATTCAATAAGCATAACCTAATTACAAATTGATTGAGGATTTGTTCCCATCAGGCTTTCTATACTCTTGCCCATCTTAATAAAACTTCCTTCATCAAAGAAACAAAATAAATAAAATTTAGTTGACAAACCATGTACCTCCCGTTGAAACAAAAAAATGTACTTGATAATATTGATCCGTAAACAAAAGCAAGAACTCACGCAATGTTTATGAAATTGCAGTTAGCACGATTAAGTACACAAGTGTCAATTTCTTAGTTCAAAACAAAGATACAATTAATTGCCGCACAAAACAATTTCAGTTAAAAATAAATAAATAAATAAAAGGGCAGAAGCACGGAAAGGATATTACAAATTCTTGAGAGAAAAAATAAAAAATGAACAAAATTATTTTTCAAAGCTTAAATAAAAAAATTTCATAATTGTTATTTTCATCCCATCCAAAAGATGTACCTTTCTTTGTGCAATATCTCAGGTTCACTCCCTCCATTTTCAAAGACATTTTTCACAAAAGCTCAAAAAATAACAGCATTAAAAGGAAGAAAGGAGAAATGCCCCTTCACAGGAGCTAAAATTGGTAACATAAAGAATAGGGTTAATACAATTTTTTATTCTTCAAGTTTGCCTTCATTTTGGTTTTGGTCTTTCAAGTTTTAAACCACAAGTTTTGGTCCCTCAAATTTCTTCTCATTTAAAACATTGGTCTCTATAATTTAATAAATACTTGGACCATTTTGTCCCTTAAGGGATCAAAACCAAAATGAGGGAAAACTTGGGGGACCAAAGATTATATTAACCTGAAAGAATATTATATCTTACCTAGAAAAAAAAACATTTTTTATCATTAAAAAGATGTCCCTTAGTTTCCTTTTCCCCCAGTTTAATGACCCTTTTGTGGGTAGACATATGCTTCTTTTAGAACAAAAGTAGCAAATATAAAGCTAAAATATTTGAGTCTATAAAATACCAACCTCTTCTAGGGCACTTCCTTCAGTCTTAGCTGCATCATCTACCTCCTGCTCAAGTTCATTGGCCAATTTCACAGCGTCATATGCATAACCAGTTGTGACAGCAGTTATCCTGCGTGTTCCTTTTGCAATGCCCTCCTCAGATAGAAGAGCAAAAGCTTTAGCCTCTCGTGTGTTTGATATATGGGTCCCTACATCAAGTAAAGTGAAATGCTTAAGAGAAATTCGGAAAGCTTTCAAAGAATCTATATACTATGATATTAACCTCCGCATAATTCTGATGATAAAGATGACCATTTTTCATTCTCTGGATCAGCTAAGAGATCCTCAACCTTTTGTCCTATCGCTACAACTCTAACTGGGTCAGGGTAGACCTGCATCCAAACCAGAATATTTAACAGTGTGACCTTCGTAAGACAATAACAGGTGGAAGTATTTACTACTTACTTCTCCAAAAACAGCTCGTAAACCGTTGATGCGTTTGGCATCAGTGAGAGTTGCCTCCTTTGAATATACATCTAATTCAGCTTCTATTTGCTCATTTACAATTGATTCAATTTTCCTCAGCTTGTCAGCTTCTACTGGCTTGCCTGTTAAAATTTTCGCTTTACTTTCACTCAAAAAGAAAAATTTCACTTTACCATAGCTCTACATTCAAGTAATTCAAGCAGCCCAGCTGAGCAAAACCTACCATGAGAAAAATCAAATCGCAATTTTTCAGGAAGAACAATAGATCCCTTTTGGTCAACATGATTACCAAGTACTTCCTGCATTTACATCATAAGAAATCTCAAGAATGGCAAACACAAACTAATTAGTGGAATCTCATAAAGCTTGATAGAGCGGCATCATACCCTGAGAGCAAAGTTCAACATGTGTGTACAGGTATGGTTAGGGGCTATAAGGGCACGCCTCTCATAGTCAACCTGCTTGAGTTACTAGATAAATACACAAAGGAGCATTTAAAATAAAGAAAAAAAATAAAAGTGAACAGAATTTTACCTTGCACACTACTTTGTCACCCACGGAGATTTTGCCAGTAATTCCCGAAAAAGAACCAATGTGAAGAACAAAACCTCCATAAACTTGCACATTATTAACTTGAAATTTGGCAAGAGGACCCTCCAGGGATCCAGTATCAAAAACCTATGAACGGAAAAACAAAAAAAATCAAATACACTAGACTAACAAAGACCACAACATCTCAGAAGACAGAGCAACTGATGGAGTAATGAATAACAAGTCACAACATTGTCCACTCACAAACTTGCAAGGATTTGACTGCGGAACTACAAATAAAATTTAGATATAAATTTTATGTGAAACTTGATCATAAAATGATGCTTCACGAAATTGAAACTCAGATTTTAATAGAATAGGAAAAAGCAATCCTTTACGGTCAACCTTAGTTTTCAGCAAGCTTAGATTCAAGTCAAACAGCTCGAATTATCGTATTTAGGATTACGTTTCAATGAAATAGTCTACTACCCACACTTAAAAAGATGGCTGTTTGCTTGATAATTTCCTAGAGATAGCATCTACCAAAAGCTCTAATTTGATTTTTCAATTTAAACCTACTTGAACAACAAATGTTCCACTTACAAAATATTGAGATGACAAAACCAAACTGCATTTTATTGCATACGTTCACTTCAAATTCCACTTCTTTGATTTGTTGTCCTGAATATAATGTTAGAGCCTAATGACATCATACGAATCCACATAGCCAATCTTGCTTAAAAGGATAAAGCTGCTTGTTGTATGTTCATCGACCTCATGCAGTTTAAGATTTGTCTTATAGAGTAAATTATATAGCAGTAATTCAATTATTCTCTATCATGAATAATTTTCCACATTGCCCATACTTAATTTAGACTTGAAATCTTTTAATAATCAAATCTACATATTATACCACAATTACTAAAGATACAAATAGTCCACTTTATCCAGTGATCAAGCTCGTCATGATCAAGAGCTGTCATACTCTAACTTCTATTTCTGATACAACTAAAACTTACAAAGCAGTTTTTTGCGTTAGCCTAGATACAATATTAACAAGTTCTGACAAGATCTTGATTATCATTCAGTAAAACTCTTAACTTTCTAGCATATTATATTCTATTTATTAAACTTATTAACCATCTGTCAATCAGAGGAAAAAAAGGATTAATAACAGATATGAAACTACACAAGTGCCAAAGCATCAAATTTAGATGATCAATGGAATGCTTTACAAACTTCAAATAATATTTTTTGCTGTGCAAAGCGTTAACCATATCAACCAATACTAAGCATAATATTATTTCTTTTCTATAACCAATTTTTCCCTTTATCTAAACCTTTAATGGTTAACAGAACGAGTTTAAGAATATTTTAATACCTGGCCACCCTGCTCAGCATAAAAGCTTGTAGATTCCAGAACTACACCAACATCACCACTGGTGTCAAAGGCATCTAAGAACTCAGAACCTGAGTATATTGCTCTCACCACACTCTCATGATCCTAAAAGAACAATATATGGGGAAAAAAGTACTTAGCCTAATTCTGAAAATAGTCAAGTAAATTAGCAAGAAAGTGGATAGCAAACAATAAGTTATATAACCGCTGAAATGATAACCAGAATAACTCTTCATTCTAAATGTCTCTATGTGTGTATACTCCAAGGAAACATCTCATCCCCTCCTTTTTTCGTTCATCTGCTTGCATAATTCTTCATCTAAGAATTTCTTATAAAAAGAGTTGCTCCACTTTGTGTTTTATTCCTTTAAAAAAAAAATCCAACAGAAAGTGAAAGGAAAAGAAAACATAAACTCACCTTGAACCAAACATACTTGAAGCTATCATCGGTTGGAGAAATGCCCCTTTTGTGCAAAGCTGAAGTACCATCAGCATCCATGACAATGACACCACCAGCTTGCTGCCACATTAAAATACATGAATTGGGTGGGAGGGGATTAGAATAAATCAGTACAAGTTAAAATTAATTTTCACCCTTTAGTTAGTTTATTTAGCGCCTTCAAGCATGAGCATGTTATTTCAATTTCCAGAAGGCTTAGTAATATTCTAAAGACGCTAATAAAAGCACAGTACCTTTGTTTGAGCATTTCGTGATCTCTCTCTTGCTTCTTCCATGGCAAGATTGAAACCCTCAACATCAACAAGTAAACCCTTTTCCTCTGCCATCAGCTGATAGAAGGAAAATTCAGCTGAGTGAAATATGTAGAAATGGTTTAAAGTGCAAAAATTTCAGACAGTAAACAACAAAGCATCTATCTACCTGAGTGAGATCCAACGGGAACCCATATGTATCCCACAAGATAAAGGCTTCCTGCAATCAAGAGATATAAATGGATGAAGATCACCATGAGACATTCTGCAAAATAACAAGGGTAATAGTTTCAATTGACTCACAATTTAAACACCAGAAAATCAAAATTTCGATGAAACTTGTTTTTCACATAGGAAAATCCCCAAAACTCAAGCAGTTATCAGAGGTACTATGTCATAATTATGCGAATATTTTTTTGATTTAAAAGAGAGTCTCACACGTTCTCATAATTATGAGAACATGTATACTCCAACCAGGGAAAGACTTGGGTGTTTAGTCTTATACGCTTGATATGCTTTTGTCCAGTCAAATCAAAACAAAACAAATAGATTTTAGAAGTATTCATAGTATCAATAGTAAGAATTTGTTACATAATAAATAATATACTAAAAATCCACGTGTCTCAATGGGATTGGAAACAAGCATATTATATATATATGTATGCATGTATAAGGCAGAGTATAAGGGTATTTCCTTCCAACAATGGTGCAAAATATCATGCATAACAACAGTGAGAGAGAAACTTTACTTGCCTGCCCACTCAATACTTTTCCCTGAACATGACGAACAGCCATCTCAAATTTCTCAATCCCCTGAAGAGGCAAAACAATTAATCAGATTTAATCTTGGCCTTGACCATAAAAAGAACAAAATACAGGAAAATCTATCAGCAAAAACCATAACTCCTCAAGTACACAAGGGGGAAAAAACATGGCCACCACGCTAACACTTAAGTTCATAGATAATAACTCTTACCTTAATTAAGGTTCTCCCAAAACTTTCTTCCTCCTCCTTAATGATATCCTTGATAAGCACTTCGTGTTGTTTTAGCTCCGGAAAAACATCACCCATTATATTCACCACAATACTTACAAGCCTGTAATTAACAACATTGCGGACAAAAGAAAATTAACGACCATGGCTTAATAGCCTGTTCTAAACCAGCAGGTCAACTCTATGGCTCCTGACACAGCCACTTGTGTAGCAATGCAACTACAGCTCCAATAGAGATATTGCAGGAAATCGGCATTAAATCAACTATAAATAGAGAAACAGACATTCAATGCGTAGGAATATTGACACATGATCTAATAATTATTAGGGTCATTTATGTATTTTTAGAAAATCAGATCAAATCTGGAAAAATAATCCAGATTTGGAACTCGTTACCACAGATAAATCAACCATTAATCCAGGAGTATCTGCAACTAGTTAACCCTTTTTTTGCCACTTTTAAATTCTAGTATTTCTTTCCTTTTAATTCTCCCTAGCCATCTTATTGTTAGCATTTATGTATTTCATTTCTTTTTTTTCAGAGTATGACCTACATGTCTGTCAAGCTCTTATATCAGAATTGCTGCTTTCCTTCAACCTGTACTAAGAAATTTGCTCAGAACAATAAGAATACTCTAATAGGGCAGAAAAGCCTTAATTTGAGTTAGTCTACAAAGCCTAGCACTGCATATTTACTTGACTAATCCTTGGACAAATAACACAACAACAACAAGCCTTAGACAAATAGTATTGAATAATTTAGGTTTCATTTGACAACATTAAGACCATGAGAAGAAGGCAATGGCATCCTCCTTTTCTTGTATTTTTGTTACGGTTGATGAACAAATGGACTCTTCAAGAGACGATGAAATAGAGAAATTACTCAATGGTAATCATTATGATGATGTTGCATTTGATGAAGAGGAGAACTAGTTTAGATGTCTCCAGATAAAGCTAAGTTTAAGCAATTTTGTACAGTAGTAATTTATTTTATAATAAATACAATTGCAATTCACGGATGATTATATTGTGATGAGGCACTATTTTTTAAATGAGCTTGACTCTGTGTGTTTGCGCACATGTTAATCAGTATCAATCAAAATTTGAAATTTTTAAAGTGCTATGAGCCCTGTGCTATAGCATTTTGGAACCCTTAGTGCCACAAGTAGACTACATGATATTAAAAAACAGGCTAAGGACAATGCATCTGTTTACAAATTCAACTTGTAAAGTCAACCAAGATTGTTCCTACTAAACAATTTCTTTTACTTAGAAATAGTACTCAACAAGCACACAAAAGTATTTAATATTTTGTAGGACCAGATGTGAGAGAGAGAGAGAGAGAGATTATATCAAGAAACTCATTGACCAACCACGGAAACTAAGCCCCCAAAACAAAATTATACCTACCCATTGAAAAACCCATCTTTAGCTTTTAAGACTTCACGTCCATACCGAACAGCTCGACGAAGTATACGCCTAAGGACATACTCACGTCCCTCATTACCTTGCAAACAAGTAAATATGACACAATTAAGGAAGAGTGTTCTAATTCTAGCATATGAAAATACAAGTGATGTAGAAGTTTGGACTGAAAAAAGAACCGGACAAGAGAGGGAGAAAGAAGGGTGGGGGAGAATTAGATAGTGTTTTCTTGTACTTCAAATCACAGCAAAAATATTAAATGTCTTGCAAGTCGTAATACAAATACTATGGTAAAAAATGGCAAAATTGCAGACCATAGATGACTATATTGTTTTCATTATTTTTGTTGGAAAAAAAACACGCATAAATATGCCAATGCACAACATCATACCAGGGCGAGATCCATCAGCAATGGCAAATGACAGAGTTCTGATGTGATCTGCAACCACCCTGTATGCCATGTCAATTTTGTCAGCATCATCAGGTCCAACTTTTCCAGAATAGGGCCGAGCACCAGTTGCCTGCATAGATGTTGCATTATAACCATCATCTAGCAGACTGGAAAGTGAACCGACATATGGGACAAAATATCTTCAATTTCAATGGAAAACCGTCACCATCATACCTCTTGAATGACATCAAAGATAGGCAAAAAGACATCAGTGTCATAATTACTCATTTTATTCTGAAGTACAGAGGTCAATCTTTCAAATCCCAAGCCTGTGTCGACATGTTTTGCTGGCAGAGGTTTAAGAGACCCATCAGCCTCCCTGTTGAACTATTAGGAAAGAAGGAAAACAGAAGACCAGAAAAAACTTTAGCAAACATTTCACCCAAAAGCAAGTTAAATATTCTGATGGAAAAGTAGGTTTGCATCTTCAGGTGCACTCTGACCAGATCATCAAATTCATAAATGGCAATGACTCAAAAGATCAGTAAGACAGTCAACATCATACCTGAACAAACACAAGATTCCATATCTCAATGCATGTAGGGTCATCATTATTGACCAAGGATGCAGCATCACGGCTACCAATTCTGTCATAATGTATCTCAGTGCAAGGTCCACAAGGACCAGTATCACCCATCTCCCAGAAATTGTCCTGATCAGAGATATAAACCACGTTAGATATGAAGAACACAAGTTATACTTTCAATATTGGATGGACGGTTCCCTAATGTCTGGTCAACGTATTTGATATTTACATGTTCAAGATGGAAAAAAATTGAATTTAATAAACATGTCATTTTATATTGCAAATTCAAAATCCACACAATATGCATTTTCAGACTAACTACAATCTTGATGAACATAAAAATCATATGATCAGATAAAAACAGTTTTTAACCAAAGGAAAAAAAAAACCATACTTTACTACCAAAAGGAAGAACACGTCCAGCTGGCAAAAACTTAAGCCAAATATCTCTAGCTTCAATATCAGGAGCAAGACCAGACTTAACGTCACCACCAAAATACGTTGCGTAAAGACAATCTGTTGGTAATTTATAAACCTGCAACCGAAGAGAAGGCAAGCGAAGGTGGGTCATCAAAGATATGAATAACCATCAAATTATAAATATATATTGAACATCTTGCTGATAGTACAGCCCTCAATTTTAAAAATCTAACCAACCTAATCAGTTCAGCTGACAAACCAATGAACCAGTCACTGAACTAGGTCAGTTGACCAAAAAAAAACTGGCCTATAAAAAATCGACAATAAAAAGGTCAAAATCAAACCAGTTCAGGGTTCAATCAGTTTTGAATTCTTTTTCCACAAAGAGCCAAAACTTTTTTGCTGGCCTGACATCTTCAAATATAAAAATTGAACATAGAAGGCAGCAAGAGAAAGAGGTAGTTGAATCAGGAAAATTTAAAGGAAAGAGAAAATAAGACAAACCAAAACTATGAACATAGCAGAAGCAGACAGAAATTCAGCACAGAGCATAATGTACCAAACTATACCTCCACTAACAGTGAAGGCCCATACCTTTGTTAGAAGTTCCCATGCCCATCCAATGGCTTCTTCTTTGAAGTAATCACCAAACGACCAATTGCCCAACATCTCAAAGAAGGTATGATGGTAAGTATCTTTTCCTACATCATCAAGATCATTATGCTTGCCACCAGCTCGTATGCACTTTTGGGTATTGCATGCACGAGTGAGTTTGCTCAAGCCGGTATTAGGATCCACAGTTCCCAAAAAGATAGGCTTGAATTGGTTCATGCCTGCCAAGTTCCAAACGGATTGCAACAGTAAATTTTATAATATTTTCCTTGAAAGAAAGGGTGAAAAAAGAGCCCATGGGTAAAGACAAATATGAATAACAAAAGAAATACAAAGTATTGTTAATTCACATGAAGCTTTGGATTCTGCATGGCGAATATGTTTCTTACTTCATGTTAACACAACATCATAAAGTACGATCAACTAGAGAGGTTCAATGTGAAATAGAAATAATAATGAAAAGCAGACAGATAAGTTGAAGAGGCTATAAAACATCCTCCTCTTTAATGTTGAAACCATGGCGCAAGCTGCTACTAGAACATATATTAAGGGGAGTATATGAAACTAAGGGAGTATAATGGATTTTAAATCTGGAAGACAGATGAAAAATTCAACTTGCATTTAACAAAATGCAAAAAAGATGAAGAGAAAACCCTTTGATGGGAAACGTAGTCAGTGATTATAGAAATACTTGATAGTCGATACAAGACAGACATTCAGCTACACTAATTTCGCAGATATTACAATTAGTAACAGTGTATATACAGCTAACTCTTACTCACATATTACACCACATTAGAATTAAGAAGCCACGTAAACTTAAAAGTTTCATTATATCTGACATACCAGCTTTCACTAAGCAACAAACATGGGCAGAAGAAAGCTTGAGTTAAGAGGCAGCAGATAGATCAAAAGTTCCACATAAACTATATCTTGTTCCCTTTTTTTTAACTAACTCAGTAGATAGATTAAGAGCGAAGATGATTATTATCAAGAATTGCTCTTAGTTAGAAGTCGAAAGCTTGAATCTTTGATCAAAGCACAACCCAAAACCCTTATTTACAGAACATATAACGCCAAGAACAGGAATTATCCGTGCAACTTCCGAAACTTAATAATCAATGAAGAAAAGAATCAGACCAGCATTCGCAAAGAGAAGGGTCGGGTCATTGAGGGGAACGACAGGGCTAGACTTCCAGTAAACGTGATTCTTCTCCTCGAAGAACTTGAGGAATGTGTCCCTGACACGCTTCGCTGGCCACTCCACTCCAGCAGTCCCAGTTCCAGGCATGGTGGCGGAGAAGGAGAAGGACGATAGGGGACGAAACAATGGCGTTTGCAGGAGAGAATTATTGATGAACCTAGCAAGAAGTGGCTTAGAAGTGAACGGGGAGAAGATGAATAGCGGCGCCAGGAAGGCGGGAGAGGGAGCTACAGCCTACAAGAGACAAAGGATTAGGGATAGTAAGGAGCGGAGCTCCCGTTGCTTTCCGACCGAAGAATCGGGTCATACAATTGGCGTCATAGTTTTAACGCAAGGCCGTGACCGTGAATAATAATACGTGATCCGTTGGGGGCTTCGGCTGGGGGAAATGATGCTGTTCAACCTACACCGCTGGGCTGGTCTTAAAGCCAACGAATCGTACGAGCTCTCGTAGTATATTCTCTGTCTTTGTATTTTTCTGCTTCTCTTTATAAAGCACTTCCAGTATATTTTACACAAACTAAAAAAATTTAAATTTTATTAATTCTCATTTAAAATTAATGACTTTTCAACTTTATCTCTATTTAATATACATTATACCTCATATAAATAAAATCAACACAATAATAAATGAGGGGTAAAATTATACATCTATAAAAAAAATTTCTCAATATCTATAAATAGGACCAAAAAATACATTCTCTCTCTGTCCTATAAATAAGATCAGAGGAACATATTGTAAAGTGAGAATCCAAAATTTTTTTTAAAATAATCTTATTTGCTACAAAAATGTGTAAATTTCGTAATTTTCTTTACACTATGTTCTTTCTCCTTCTTTTTTTTTATTTTGTAAATATTAAAATTAAAATGAAATGTTCGTCAACCGTCACTATCAACAGATTATGACAGACTGGCATTAAGAAATATTTTTACATTATATTTTTTTGGGAAAAATCTTTTGAAAAAAGTACTTAGATAACTCAAATTCTTATTTGAATCATTGAACTTGCCAAAACTCTAATCAGGTCACTGGACTCAGGATAGATAATATCTTTTTCATTAAAAACCCATAGATATAAGAATTTTTAATTATTCCCACATTGTGTAAAAGCTTTGGATAAGGAAAACTTGGCATCTACAAGTTAGAAAACCTATTAAAGAAACAATGATACGTTAGTTTTTATATTAAATATTTCTCTCTCTAGTCTTAATGGTTTCATCATGATAAAATGTCGTTAACTTAGAATTAAAACAAGTTAACTATAAAATAGAACATGTTAATTTTTATGTTGTATTATAATCAAATTTTATTTAAAAACTTGTGCAAGTATGTTATGAAGACAGAAAATTATTAATTTAAAATTAAAACTTGTTAATTGTGAAATAAAACATGTTGATTTAAAATTCTTCTCTTTTGGTTTCGAATAAAAAACATATCAGAATGATTTCATAAAATTTTAAAATCCTTTTTTAAGTCATATGATCTTATTTAATTTAATAGTCTAAATAAGAATTTGGGTTATTTAAAAACTATCTATTAATTAATTTTTTTTGGGTGATTTATGAACACATATGGCGTATGGAATATTAGATTATGGAATAAAATATACCATTCAAAGTTTTAAAATGTGCGGGTAGTAAATTATTAAATACTCCCTTGGTTTCTTTTCATAAGGGATAGGTGCAACCTATAATATGCGCGCGCGCGCGCACATAGATGGTTTTTCATCGCCATGAACACTGCCACTGTTAAATAATTAGTCAAGGAGAAATTATACAGAGGTGATCGTATTTTAATTTAATTTAACGGTCGATCGATTATAGTAACCACCATATGATGTGAGTAATTAGTTATTAATGAGATTTACTATAATAACTTCGGATCCATTCTAATTCATTACAATATAGTAGTAACTACCACTTTCAGTGAAAATTACTACTACCTCCAGTCCTAATTATGAAAGCTAGTTGACTAATTTGAGGAGATTAAAAAATAAATTAAGTTAGTTATTTATAATAAATAGGTGTTATTTTTCCTAAAATATCCTTACTAATCAAGTGTATTGGCCAGAATTACCATTAACAGAATGACTATCTTGAAAAAAATACATAAATATGATATACAAATTAAATTGGGATCTCATATTTAGGACTAAAATAAAAATTAAATAAGGTCTTATATTAAAAACCGGAGGTAGTATTTTCTTAACCGTTTTGAGGCACTGGCCACTGGATATACCAAACTTGTGTCGATATTGAACCGCTTTATTTCCTATAGGTAGCTAGCATCTGTCTAATCCTTGTGAATGCTGCCGTCATCAGCATTGTTTCTAAATCATGTTCTTGATGACATATTTAGAAATTGCTCTGAAAAAAGTTTCAGCTTTTTTATGAGAAAATTTTCAGGTTTAATTAGCTATATGTGAATTTAAAATATGCGGCACCACTGATGAATACTGAGGACGCGAATGATGAAAGAAGTAGTGTATTCTTACCACCTGCCATTATAAATGTTATATGAAGCGGAGGTTACATTTCAACGTTCCTAAAATGAAAAGCACCATCATAAATGTTCATCTATCACCGTGTATAATTTCCTGAGCTGTTATCCTTCCAATCTGTTCTGGTGCTATTACCCGCTAAAATTATTTTATAGTTATCCGAAGTAGCGGAGAAATTAGGGGTAATAATCCTTGCAACCTACTTATAATAATATTGACAAACCTGATTAGCTAGCATTCTATTTTTCTTGTTAATATACTCCTCTGATCCTTAATATAGAACTCAATTCTCGAGTTAGTTTTAATCCTAAATATAAGACTCATTTCTCATATTTATCAATTTTCTCTAAATTACTCCTATAGATACTTCATCAACCATAATCAAGTAGAAGAGGAAGAGGGGTATTAAAAAAGATGATTATGGTGTTTTAGGAAAAATGTATCACTTTTCTTATAATTAACTAACTTATCTAACTTCCTTAATCTAATCAAATTAGTTAAATGGATCTTATATTAAGGACCGGAGGGGTATAATAATGCCATTGTAACAATAATAATGCAACAAATGGGCATAATATAGGAAACGGGCTTTATTAGATGGAATCAAGTGGGTGGAAGTCACATACTACCTCCGGTTTTTAATATAAGAGATAATTAAGGGCTAGATAGGGTCACAAATATAAAATCTTAATCAATTTTGTCTCCCATCTTTTCCCCAAACATTCTTATTGATTGCAAGGGTTCCCACAGAGTTGTCCAATACACATAACTAATTAGGCTAATTTTTTTAAGGGAAAATTTCAGTTAAGGACCGCAGAAGAGAATTTATATCAATCAACCCCCAAAACATTATGAAATATCACTGCAGGACTAAGGGACCAAATTAAAATTAAAATTTAGAGTAAGATTACAATAATACCCCTCCCTTTTATTTTATTAAAAAATAAATATTAATGGACGTCACTGTTCCGGCCACCAAAAGTCGACGTCCGGCTACCGGCGCTCAGGTGGCCGCCTCTGGGGGTTGGACCTCCAATGACCGGAATTTTTTTTGTTTAAAACAAGATGGCCAAGGGAGGGTTTGCACCCATGACCCCTTGACACACCAAAAGTGTTGTAACCACCAAGTCAAGCAAGCCATTCAATCATGTAATGCAAATAAAAATATATATAACAAAACAAACGCAATTGTCCAAATATAAGTAAACAAGTGAAATTCGACGATTTACAAGTGCAATTCAACAATTTACAACGAAAATTAAGCAATTTATAAATAACATAATAGAATTCATAACCTCAAATACAAGTGTTTAAATGCAAATGAGCAAGTGAAATTTGAAGATTTACAGTAAAAGTTTATGGATTTACAACTCAAATTTGGCAAACATAAGAAAATTCACAATCCAAAATGTAAATGTTTTAGTGTAAGTGAATAAATAAAATTCGACGATTTATAACTAAAATTCAGCAATTTACAACAAAAATTAGGCAATTTCAAAAGGAGGTCCAACCCCCGGCGATGGCCACCTGAACTCCGGTGGCCGGAACAGTGGCGTCCATTAATATTTATTTTTTAATAAAATAAAAGGGAAGGGTATTATTGTAATCTTATTCTAAATTTTAATTTCAATTTGGTCTATTGGTCCTACAGTGATATTTCATAATGTTTTAGGAGTTGATTGATATAAATTCTCTTTTGCGGTCTTTAACTGAAATTTTTTCTTTTTTTAATATCTTTAAATTAGTTATCTAACTCTCATACTAAACATCAGAGATAATATATGATATGGAAATGACCATATGAAGCAGAGAGAAGGACAATGCCCAAGGTGCTAAAAAATTGACGTGGTTTCTTCTCTCATGACCCCCTCCTTTTCTTCCCCCCAAGTTCTTCATCACCATATGTACCTCCTTCTAGAGCCTTCTCATTTGAAAATGATTTTACAATACACAGAGTAAGTATATGAGAGGAGTTTTGTCGGAACTAGTTTCAGTGCTCATTACAATTATGAGTACCATGATAATGATTGTTGTAGTAAAATCTACACCATTCAGATCTAGTTTTAATAGTTTAAATTTAAAATTTTTAACCAATAAGTTTTAAATAAAAAAATTATGTTTTAAAAAACTTTTAGTTAAAAAATTACATTTATTTTGGATTATCTACCTATTAAAAATATTTTTTTAAAAAAAATAAAAAATTAAATCTTGATCATCCATATTAATTTTGAACAATTGAGATTTAATGAGTATCATGATGCTTATTATTATGATGAGCAAAAAAACCGATTCCAAATTTTATCTCTGTTTGAGTGAAAACACTTTTTTAAGTGTTTTTACTCAATACCATACACCCTCATTTCTAGCCTTATCGTTTTATTTTTGTGTTTTTGGCATTATATGCATTAAATGAGTATTGCTTGAGTATGGCCATCATCAATATATTATACAGAGCTAATTAATTAATTTGAGTAGATTAAAAAATTTATTAAATTAGTTATTTTTTAAAAATACTTTTATTAATCATATATTAGCTAGAACTATCATTTAATAGAACCTTTTAGAACTATTTTTAAAAAATAAATAAATATGAAAGATACAGTGAATTGAAGTTTTTATATTTATGATGAAAATAAATTTCAAAGTAACTCTTAACTATATTAAAGACATGTCCGCTTTAGATTCTGCTCGGTAAATCATAACAGGCGCCCACAAAAAATGTCCGCTTGCATGAGAAAGTGGCGTTAATCCATGCATGTGGCTTCCCGAATTTTTTGTTCATGAGAGCGCCTATCAACTTCTATATCTTTATATCTAATATTCAAATTAATTTTTTATTGAAGAGGCATTTCATCAAGTAAACTATCTTTTACCAGTTATGTAAACTAATTAGTCAGTTCGGCTTGTGATGTCAAAGTTTACATTTTGTATTCTTTTTGCCAACAGCCTATTTTTTCTATTTTACTAATCTTTCCTTTGACTTTAGGAGGTTGTTGATGCTAAGCAAGGAGAGTTTAATTAGCTCTCCTTGTATTTGGCCCCCAAAAAAAAAAGCCCTACTTGTACGTCTGGCAAAAAAGAAAAAAGGAGAATTGAAATTAGATCATATCCAAGAGAATTAAATACAAAAAAGTCCATTGAAATCATGAAATTATTCTAAAGTCCTAAGCGACCTTTTTACAATAAATTTTATTTATTTAATTACCAAATTATTTTTTTTTTAAAGTTTACATCGACGACTGAAAGAGTAGTAGTTAACAACTTAGGATGCAAGGATAAGACCTAATTGCAATTTTTCCAAGAAAAAAGCTCTACTGGTACAGAAAACAACTAATTTAACTTTAAACTACTTGACTTTTAAATTCATATTACTAATATTTTCTTCACACGACACAAAACAAAATCATCGTTATCATTATAACTTTATCATTTTTCCCTCTTCAGAAAAAAGAAAAGGGCAAAAACGGTGAAAACACTCTAGGCTCGTTTAGACTGGTTCCATAATATCCAAATGGTCTACTGAATTTGAGAAATTCCAATTTGGTTTCAAGAGACCAAATTGGGATTATCATGTTAAAAGAAAAGACCAAATTACCCTTCATTTTATTTGTTGTTTTTGAAATTCTAAAGCCCCCACTGGCCGGGCCGGTTGGTCGCCGGAGCTTAGGCGACCAACTGACAATTGGTCACCGGAGCTCTAGCGGTTGGAAATAATTTTTTTGAAAATTTTTACAACTCCAGTATAACGGTTAACAACTTTGGTAACGCTATTAATAACTTCAGTATAACAATTAAAAATAGGTTTTCTGGGAAATTCAACAAGCTCTAGCGGCCAGAAACAATTTTTTTGAAAATTTTTACAAACTTTAGTATAAGACTAACAATTTTTGTAACACTATTAACAACTTCAATATAGCAGTTAACAACATGTTTTTTGGGAAAATTCAACAAACTCTAGCGACTGGAAACAATTTTTTTGAAAATTTTTACAACTTCAATATAACAGTTAACAACTTTTATAACGCTATGAATAATTTCAATATAGCAGTTAACAACAAGTTTTTTTGGGAAATTCAACAAGTTCTAGCGACCGGAAACAATTTTTTTGAAAATTTTTACAACTTCAGTATAATAATTAATAACTTTTGTGACGCTATTAATAATTTTAGTATAACATTTAACAATAAGTTTTTCGGGAAATTCAACAATTGGTTGCCAGAGTTCCAATGGTAGAAAACAATATTTTTGAAAATTTTTACAATGTCAGTATAACGGTTAACAACTTTTGTAACGCTATTAACAATAAGTTTTTCAAAAAATTCAAAAAGTAGTATTTTTTCAACTTCAATAATGCTATTAACAAATTCCGTAACTATATTAACAACTTAAGTATAGCATTTAACAATATGTTTTCTTAAAAATTAAAAAAAAAGGCATTTTTACAATTTTAGCAACTATTTTTTTTTGGAAAATTTTTACAATTTCAGTATAACGGTTAACAATTTTTGTAATGTTATTAATAACCTCAGTATAGCAGTTAACAACAAGTTTTTCGAAAAATTAAAAAATTAGCATTTTTACAACTTCAGTAATGTCATTAACAAGTTTTGTAACTTTATTAATAACTTCGGCATAGCATTTAACAATATGTTTTCTTACAAATTCAAAAAAATGCATTTTTATAACTTTAACAACTATTTTTTTGAAAATTTTTATAGTTTCAGTATAACGATTAATAACTTTTGTAACTTTATTAACAACTTTGATATAGCAATTAACAACAGGTTTTTTGAAAAATTCAAAAAGTAGCATTTTACAACTTTAGTAATGCCATTAACAAACTAAAAAAATCTGTTGTTAACCACTATACTAAAGTTATTAATAGAGTTATAAAAATTGTTAACCGCTATACTGAAATTGTAAAAGTTTTCAAAAAAATTATTTTCTGTCACTGGAACTCCGGTGACCAATTGTTGAATTTTCCGAAAAACATGTTGTTAACTGATATACTAAAGTTGTTAATAACGTTACAAAAGTTGTTAATTGTTATATTGAAGTTGTAAAAATTTTCAAAAAAATTGTTTCTGGCTGCCAAAGCTCGTTGAATTTCTCAAAAAACCTGTTGTTAACTGCTATACTGAAATTGTTAATAACGTTATAAAAGTTGTTAACTGTTACACTGGAGTTGTAAAAATTTTCAAAAAAATTGTTTCCGGCCGTCGGAGCTTGTTGAATTTCTCAGAAAACCTGTTGTTAACTACTATACTGAAATTGTTAATAGTGTTACAAAAGTTGTTAATTGTTATACTGAAGTTGTAAAAATTTTCAAAAAAACTGTTTCCGACCGTCGAAGCTTGTTGAATTTCCCAGAAAACCTGTTGTTAACTGCTATACTGAAGTTGTTAATAGTATTATAAAAGTTGTTAACCGTTATACTGAAGTTGTAAAAATTTTCAAAAAAATTGTTTCTGACTGTCGGAGCTCCGGTGACCAATTGTCGACTGTCTAGTGGGGGGTTTTGGTATTTTAAAAACAATAAATAACATAAAGGGTAGTTTGGTCTTTTTTTTAACATGATAATCCCAATTTGGTCTATTGAGACCAAATTAGGATTTCTTAAATTCAGCAGACCATTTGGGCAGTATGAAATTCAAGTGTCATTTTTCTGTCTTTTTCCTTGATTATAAATACTTATAAGTATGTTTTACGTAAATTAAGATAAAATTTCATTCACATATTTATCTTATATTCATAAATTATGGTTAAAAAGTAATTTATAAACTACTATCTCCGGTTTTTAACATAAGACCTTGTTTAATTTTTATTTTGGTTTTAAATATAAGACCCCAATCCACTTTGTTTCTTATATTTATACATTTTTTCCCAATATATTTATTCTAACAATAATACTTCTAACCGATACATTTGATTAGTAAGAATATTTTAGAAAAGATAACACTTATTTATTACAAATAACTAACTTAACTTTTTTTTAAATTTTTTTAAATTAGTCAACCAACATAGAATTGGTAGTATTTTAAATAAGTATATGAGAATGATCTTTGGTTTAAATTAAAAAAAACACCTTTCATATACCGTACAATCATTAAATCACTTTTATAAGCCTGCCTCCTTTCTTTCCAGAAGACGGAAACGCGAGGCGACCTGCTATGAAGAAGTGTCAGTGCCCCTAGATCACGTAGAGCTCTGAGAGCGCGATGAAGCATCTATTCCTACTCCTTGCTTCAATACTCTTATCATTCTTATCCACTCAGTGCGCATCCTCCGCCTCGGCAGAATGGCAGATCCTTACAAAACAAAATTTCTCTTCTCAGATCCGACTCCATCCCCATATCCTTCTTCTCGTCACTCTTCCCTGTAATCTCTCCTTTTCTTTTACTTGAACTACTGATTTTTCAGTATTCCTTTACAGTTGGATGATTAGTCATGATAATGAATATATATATTGATGTAGTTGTTGGTTATCTTGGCTGCTTATAATTTTCCTATTTAAATGTTCTGCAATTAGTAGAGTGATCCTAACGTATTTGATTTTCATTTTGAATTGCAGGGTCTGGTGAGTCTCGGTTCCTTATGAAGGATGTGGCACTTGCACTTGCTGGTAAAAGGGAAGATTTTGGTCCTCTAAAACTGAGGTATATGCATAGAAATACAGAGAAGATGCTAGCAGATTCTATAGGTGCTCATACTGAGGAAATAACATTAATTTACTTCCATTATTCTATATCTTACAAGTATCGAGGAAGACTTAGAGCAAAAAACATATTATCTTCGCTGCATCCCTATATCATGAGCATACCTGAGGAGGTTCCCCTTAAGGCTCTCAAGAATCCAAAAGAATTAAGAATGTTCCTTGATTCAACTGATAAGGCTCTAGTTCTCGTAGATTTTTGTGGATGGGCTACAAAGTTACTTGCAAAGCAGAATGGAACAGAAAATAGTTATAGCATGCATGGTAAGTCTAAGTCATGGCAGCATGTATGACTCCAATAAAATTCAGTTTCATGAAGATGATTTAATCCCTTGGTTATTACAGCTCTCATTTGATTAAAGTTCGGATGTGCTAATTTTTTTACTTTTATTTTTCATCTTGGCTTTAATTGGTTTCTCTTTTTGTAAACTATTTTATATGTATTGTGAGTTGTTGGAAGAAGGGTCAGGGTCATGAAATCTTATTTATCAACCCATAAATGGGAGGACACCAGTGAAGGCAATTAACGTAGTCTGATTGGCCTAAAATTCCACAATTTATGGCTATCAAACTAAAACAAGCTAATAGGAAATGCAAGCTGATTTGATGGGATGGAATGAAAGATACAGGGCGAGAAAGCAAGTTACAAAGAAAAGAAAAGACCAAAAGCATAAATCCATGATGATTCAGACAAAGAGCCTAAACTGTATGATCACTAAAGGAGAATACTTTATAGTAATGTTTGTCTGAGTCTCGTAATGGTTACTGGACTTGGATCTATTGCTTTGAATGTTCTATCTTTTTGTGGTTTTGCTTTGGTTTCTTTTTTCCCTTCCACACACTTGTTATACAAGGGTTACTTATTCTCTGCGACTCTGTTTCTTTTTTGACTTAGGGGGTGTTTGGATAGAAACCAAACCATGGTTTCAGAAGTGCTTTTACAGATTACGAAGTAAATATGTGGAGGAGGTTACCTCGTTTTGCGGAAAAGTGATTCTGAAATCGTGGTTTTGGTTTTGCCAAACACCCCCTTAGATCTCTTGATAAAATCTGTTGTTATCACAAATCTTCTGCTTTTGCTATGTGGAGTTTCCATTGTAGTTTCAAAGTGGTTTTGTTGATTGTGTTGCATGCTGATTGATTATTTGAGACAACACAACAGAAAAATTTTCTTGCAGGGGATAGATTTGGATTGGGCTTACGTGGAAAACATGATAGAACCCCAGCACCCAAAGGGAAGAGTAACCTGAAGGTGGCTGGTATTACCTGAATGCATGACGATATGAGACTTTTTAAGATAAAATTACTTATCCATTATGATATGTTTATTAATTATTAACTAACCCTGTTTTTGTTTATTCTGCCAATTTACCAGGAGAGGATATGTGCAAAGCTGAACTCAGCATCAGTAACGGGTTTAGTGAAGTTCCTTGGCTTGGGACATTCACCTCAATGAATGATAGTGTGCTGGAGGAGGCCAAGGATAGCAGTTCTCATGTTCTACCTTCATGCACCCTACAAGAATTTGAACATTTTCACTCTTTCTACTCAAAATTCATGACCTATGTGAGAGAATTCTTTCTGCCTCCAGAACGGAATAAGTTTGGTCTGGTCTCAGAAAGATCAATACTTTCATCCCTAGGTGTTGGATATTCTGGTTCATGGTTTGCGATTCACTATGTTGATGGATGTCCAAGCTGTTTGAAAGTTCTTAGAGAAGAGGATGACTTGAAGAACCTCTTACATATTGATGATTATTTTGTCAAAGAGGTGAATATAACCTTGCTAACTTTTCCTCCAGTTCCTGCGTTTGTCATTAATTTTTTAAAACATTTTGTACCACATTTGGTTTCAATCATATCTGTGATTGCATTTAGGAACTGTTTCACTTTTTATAACTGCACCACAATATAGCATGCTCAAAAGATAAATCCCAAGATTGGCGTTATCAAGGTATCCTTGTGCATTGTATCTCCGACATCTCAGGTAGATTAGATGTAATTCTATATCAGGATATTTTTGGTTATCAAATGTAAAATACTCTTTAGACAGTGAAACTAACTCTTAGAAAAAAGTAACTCCCTACAGTTAGAGATAAGCTAAAACAGCAAACTAATTAAGATGAGAAATAAATAAAACTTCTTAACTCAATGAAAATTCTCTCTCACAAATAATCATCTCAAAGTTCTAACTTTTGATGGTTATTTGATAATTAAACTACAGCTATAGTTGAAACTAGATTGTTGGCTCGTGCTTTACACTGAGTTTGATGTGATTTACATTGGCTTGTAAATAGTGCGGCTTTATGCAGAATTTATATGATATATAGAATATGGATTATTGTTTATATCATAGCTTTCATAAACTTATCAAATCCTTTTTCACACACCACTTGGTGCTTGCTGTATTGTTTCTTCCGTCTTCCAAGTCAGTAATTCTTATGTGGTGTCCATGGCTTCTCTAAGATTTATTGTGGGATAGGACTGTCATAATGAAATCATTGCTCCTTGCATTGGTTTTTTGAGACTCTTGTTGACAAATACGCTGAGTGGTTTTTTTTTTGGGGGGGGGGGGTCTTTTTTAATGAGCCTTTTGCCCAAAAAAATTTCCTTTATACTTCATTGGTATCTTTGCTGTTGTTTTGTCATGTCTAAATATTTAACATCTGCTTTATGAACTGAGTCCCTGATTAAAGTTAAACTAGAGTTGATCTCTCTCTGACCACCAGTCAAACGTTATTTACTCCAGGATACATTTACAGATGTTACCCACTATCTTTTAACTCCAGTGGTTTGTAATTTTGTTTTATCAAAGGTAGCTCCATATGTTTTGCTCTATTCAGTTTGCTTTTTCTTTAAATTTTGAATAAAAGGTTACTTGTATGGATATAAAGTTAACTAATAGGATAATATGTGTTTTTTTGATGGAAGAGAAGAATTAAATGAAGAGAAGTGAAAGCAAGTTCTCACTAAACAAAGAAAAAACTTCAGACTCAATAGCTTAGAAGAACTTTCCAATCCCTTTGTAGATCCTTTAAGCTTGAGGCCATTTTAATATATTTTAGCATCTGAAAAAATAGAAGTATTGGATGCATAGCCCTAGATATGCTACCATGACACAAACATGCATGCTTCTCACAATTAACTATTCCTTCCATTGCTTACAATATCTTGTTTGTGATCATGCAGCTGGAAGGTAAAGGACAAGATCAAGAGACTATTTTGCCTGCAAATAAACCATCAGTACTTTTGTTTGTTGATAGATCATCTGATACCTCTGAAACTAGGGGAAAAAGTAAAGAAGCTCTCAATGCTTTTAGAGAACTGGCACAGCATTATCATGTTTTGAACCAAATGGGCAAGAAGGATGATGATAGTCTTGAAAAATTTTCAATTCAAGATTATCAAAGCTTGAAGAGTGCATCTGAACATCCTAGATTAAAGCTGTCTAAGACAGCTCAGAAGATTAAACTAAAGGAGAAGATGTCTACAATCATGGTTATAAATGAAGGCAAGCATGTTAGTTTGGACAAAGTAACTTCTGACGTTCAAGTGACTTCTTTGAATGAGATTCTTGGCTACCTTTTACAGAAAAACCAGGATGGAAGATTAAGCTCCCTGGCAAAGGATTTAGGTTTCCAACTTTTATCTGATGATATTGACATCAAACCATTTCATGCACAACAATCCCATTCTGAAGTTCTGTCTAATCCAATGTCAGCAGAAACCTCTCATGTTGGCCATACAGGTAATTCAAACCTGGATAATGACCCAAATTTGCTGAGTAGATCTGCTGGAGAGCCAGAAGAAAATTCCAAATCGACAGAGCTTTCTTCTCAAAATGATGAAGCGATGACATCTCATGTTGATTCAAGTACAGAGATAAAATCTGCCAAGCCTGAAGAATCCTTAATGGATCATGAACTTCAGGTTACCAAAAATATGAAAGCAGAAAAAGAGGGTTCATCAGCTGGAGACAAGTCTGGGGAAGAATCCATTGCAGATCATGAATTTTCTGTTGCTAAAAATATGAAAATAGAAATAGGGGATTTTTCAGATGGAGGCCAGTCTGGGAAAGAATCCAATGTGGCTCATGAACTTCCTGCTGCTAAAAATGTGAAAGCAGAAACAGACTCTTATTTGGATGGTGGCAAGGTTGGTGAAGAATTTGATCAATTTCTTGGTTTCAATGGTTCTTTTTTCTATTCTGAAGGTAATTACCAGTTACTTAAAGCTTTGACTGGTAATTTTAGAATTCCAACTTTGGTTATAGTTGATCCTGTTCGGCAGCAACATTATGTTTTCCCTGATGATCAAAATTTCAACTTTTCTTCTCTAAATGGATTTCTTTCTGGGTTTGTTAATGATACACTGCTTCCTTACCAACAATCTGAGCATGTTCTTCGAGGCCCAAGGGAAGCCGCCCGTCCACCATTTGTTAATTTGGATTTTCATGAGGTGGATTCTTTACCTAGGATTACTGCTCATACTTTCTCTGAGCTTGCCATTGGGTTCAACCACTCTGATAAAGATAATGCTTGGAATAAGGATGTCTTAGTCTTGTTTAGCTATAGTTGGTGTGGATATTGCCAGAGAATGGAAATGGTTGTCCGTGAAGTACATCGAGCCTTTAAGGGCTACATGGATATGTTGAAAAGTGAATCTAGGAATATGAAAGCTATTTCTGATCACGGTAAGGTTGTTGGTATTTGTATGCATATAACTTCATTTGTTCCTAATAAAATGCTCTTTCAGTTGTTGGTTTTTAGAACTATTTTTTTTCTTTTTAAAACTAAAATACGGGCAACTTTTGGCTATACAAGCTTGTCTGCAGCTTCTATATTAGGAATTTGTATCACCATAGGATTAGGATGTTCAGGTTCTTTTTGAATGCTTTTCCTTAAACGATGGGATCTTGCTAAGTTGGCTGTGACCTTGATCGAGGAAAAACAATTTGACTTTTAAATGATTTGTGTCTGAACCATTTACCTTTTCAAGAATCTCAATGACACAGGATTTGAGGATTTGGTACTTCTCTTTGATTTGCTTAATTCTTATGAAGATATACCTTTTTAATTACTCAAAATTTCACGAGGAGTAAAGTTTGAAAACTTTAAGAAGCAGAGGTTGAATGCAATTTATAATGAAACAGAATTGTTTTGCTGATTTGAATTTGATTTTGAGCCTTTTTGTTTGGGGAATTTCTCTTGTACTCTTTAGTTTTTTTTTTTTTTTGGGGGGGGGGGTTGTCCCGGTAGACTTTCTCTATTTATTTGTTTAAGCTTGGCTTATTATTGTTTTTCTTATAAGGTGATTATTGTCAGGAATTCACATGCTTTTATAATTACAAAAAAGAACCATGCCTACAATCTGCCCCTAGTTGCAACGGAATCAAAACTGATGCTAATTAATCCTACTTACATTGATTACTTCTCGGAATATGATCTACTTACTCTTCAACAGTTGATTTTACGATGATCACTTAGACTTGAAATTAATATATTTATTCTTCAGCTAATTTGTTGCCTGTGAACCCATCTTATGTTTAGAGTGCCCTTTGCACATGTTTGATATACTTGATTTCTATCTTCTGGGAGAAGAAATTGATCTTGACCTTATTAAATTTCTGATGGTTCTGATCCTATTTGATAGACTTAATTGATGTGTATGTTATTTGAGTTCACTTCTGGTATAAATTTGTTGATTAAATGGTTTGTGCATTCTATAGAAGTTTGACAATAGGTCGTTATGTGGCAGAAAACTTGGATCATGATACAATAAAGCTTCCAGTGATATACTTATTGGACTGTACATTGAATGACTGTGATTTGATATTAAAATCTGCAAATCAGGTACATGTCGGATGCCTTCCTTCAGATGCGTTTCGTTTTCCTGATCATGCTATTATCCCAGGCTCCCAGATTTCCTAATAATAGCAATACTACATTCTTAATATGTGTAGATAAGTTCAAGGTGATGGATTTTATGTGGGTATTTTTATTCAGTTAATAGAGGGAAAAAATGTACTTTTGATCCTTGTAGTTTTACTCAGTTTTCAATTCAGGCGGGAAAAAAAGGGAGAATCCTTGTAGTTTAAATATTTGCAATTAGGTTTTTATTGTTTTAAATTTTTTTCTGATTAGTCTTTATTATACTTTTCTCAATATTTTGCCATATTTATGAGTTAATTTTAGTTCATTATGTTTACCCGTGTTATACAGAATATTTAGATAATATTTAATTTAATATATAGAATTGATTATGTTAACAAAATTTAGTAAATAATCAATGACGACTTAACTCCTATAAAATACTACTCTCCAAACAAAAAGCCTTACTTTAGAAGGGGCCTTGACTCTCCCAAAAAATTCGGACAAAAGGAGAAACGGGATTTGGACTATAAATCAAAATCGAAAGTTTTAAATTAAGAAGAGCAAGTATCAGAGCCAAAGAGTTGATGGAGATTAAGGTAGAATAAGATGCCCAAGTCCCCCATTGAGTAGTATGGAATGTTTAATAGGTATCTAATTGAATTGGTTCTTTCACCATAATAATTAGTTTTTGGGAGAGGACCCCCCATCTCATTTGATTGTGTATTAATTGGTACTGGAGCTCATGGTCAACGGTTTCGGAAAGGGTCATCTATGGAGGGTTCTTCCACCTCAACAACTAGGTCTTTATGGAGGTTCCAAATGTAAAATAATGAAGAGGAAAGGAAAAAGGAAGGGAGAAACGGTGAGAGGGGAAGGAGAAAAGGAAGAACTTTGAGGAGTGGGTATGACAGAATACCAATATTATTTCTTAAGCAAAAAGTCTAACATCAAGCTAATCCTTGGGCCTATTTATAGAGCCCTAATTACATTTACTAACATAGCAATAATCTAAACTAATATTAGATAAGATATTGATAAAGCTTTATCTCAATTTAGGATGAACCTAAATAAGATAGACTAAATCCTAATTTAAAATGGATTAAAAAACCTAAGTTTTAAAATAAAGATGATTATTAATAGATCATAAAATAAGCTAAATTAAATTCTAGATTTTCCTATGCCTGGTATAGGTCTTCCATTATCTATCAGTTGGTCATCCCACTTGATTACCCATTAGAGGCCAAATTACAAATCATTCAATTGGGCAAAGAGGAAAATTGAAACAAGACAAGTGGCTTTATAAACAAAGTGTTCAGTGTACTAATTAGTGAGAAGGAAGGGGTTAGTTAAGAAAAGCTTCGAATAGCAAGTTAGTTGTGAGAGGTTGCTTTATGTTTAGTTTTTCCTAACCCTTCTAGTGCTCATGCAATTCAAACTCTGTTGGCTGTCTTAACTGAAAAATAATTAGAGAATGATAATGTACTGACTTAAACAGTTATCCTAAAATACTGATGACTAATTTGCTTGACTTATCCTAATGATAAAAGCCCATGCATGTGCTGATGGAGGCAAGTCAGATGAAAGCTCAACAAGCGTTGCTTCAAGCAGTCATGTGCTAACCAACAAATTTAAATGTGCAGTCATGATAAGAGACCAATCTGGACATGCACAAGGAGACGCACTTATCAGCAAATTCATTAGCTTATTTAATTAGTTTTTGTTACTTCTAGTTATCTAGTTAGATTATTTTGTTATTTTTAGTTATTTAGACGATGTTGGAAAATTTAAATTAGTTTATCTTAGTTTATTTAATCTCTCTTTTCTTTATTAGAGTTCCTTTTCTTTATTTTTCTCATTATCTTTTGAGCACCTGTCAGGGATTACTTTAGTTGCATGCAAAAACAATGACGACATTGACATTGTTTGGAATTTCAAGATCTAGTGGTAGTTAGAGAAACATGGAAACAAAAATGTAAATCTTGTCTTTAATTTGTCTGGCAAGTGGAATATATTGTATTGAAATAATCAATTGCCCTGATTGATAATTTGTATTATTTTGCAATTTGGACAACAAAAGGTCTTCTTTTTCTCTTCTCTAGTTAATTTGACTTGGTGTGTTTCAAATATGCAGAGGGAAGTTTATCCTACTCTGGTTTTATTTCCAGCAGAAGAGAAGAAACCTCTACTTTATGAAGGAGATATTGCAGTAATTAATGTAATCAAGTTTGTGGCTGAGCATGCAAGTTATTTTAATCATGTTATCCGTGATAAAGGTAATTTGATGCAGCACGCATAATCGTGTAATCAATTACCTTGATTGCCAATTTGTATTGTAACTTAATTACTCTTCTCATCCCTCACTAGAAGTTACTCCGCTCACTATCTTCCATGTTTCTGGTAGCAGTTTTGCGGCTTCATCCAGGGGGAGACAGGAATAAGAATCTGTATAGTACTTTACCTACTGATGTTCACCAGGAATCACTATATGTGAACGTCAAATATCATGGAGCCCAAGGTTGGGACAGGAACTTGGACAATGTGGCCAAACTCAACCTGATGAAACCATCTGTGTCAAACGGACCGGATGAAACGTTACCTCCAGTAATGATTGGTTCAGTGCTAATTGCGACAGAGAAGCTTTTGGGGATTCAGCCATTTGATGGATCAAAGATTCTCATTGTGGCAGCCGATCAAATAAGTGGGTTTCAGGGTGTTATCATAAACAAGCATATAGAATGGAGTTCTCTCCCTGAGCTGGGAGGCGGCTTTGAAATACTTAAAGAAGCTCCCCTTTCTTTTGGGGGTCCTGTTGTGAAAAGTGGAATGCCATTTTTATCTTTGACCCGGAATGTTTCCATAAATTCTTTACCAGAAATCCTTCCGGGAGTTTACTTCCTCGACCACCTTGCCACGATAAGTAAAATAGAAGAAATGAAATCGGAGGCAGGCCAATCAATTGTGGATCACTGGTTTTTCTTGGGGTACGCTAGTTGGAATTGGAATCAGTTGTTCAATGAGATGGCCCAAGGGGCATGGAACTTGAGTGAAGACGGAATGAAGCATTTGGTTTGGCCCTGAGGACCATTTCTTTGCCCTATGTACTGTAATTTGTAGATTTATTTCAGCTGTAGAAATAATTCCCAAACGCTTGTATATTAGAAAATAGCACCCGAAATATGATTCATTGGAAGGGCTTGAAGTTTTTGGCGGGAAAAAAAGCTTGAAGTTGCAAAACTAGGAAAATCGTGTATTTGGTATTTGATTCTTCAAAATGTAGGACAAGATGAGCAAAAACTGTAGCTGCTGGACCATTTGCAATTTAGTTCAAAGTTCAGTAATGAAAATGATGGATTGGCCAAATAAAATCATTTTACACGATCTGAAATATACTAAATGGAAAATTTTGATAAAGGAGTTATTGAAGTTAGACTCAGTTAGTTTGCTTTGAATTATTTTCATATTGAATTGATTGATTTGTGTATCAACCTATGTTCCATTAAGTCTGGGGTTGGCTTAACATTGGCATCCAATGTATTCTATGCTTGCTGCATCACGTCCACTCGCTTCATGCTTAATCTTTGAGGGCTGGGATGGATTTCTTTATGTAGCATATCTGGGCCTATAGTTGCATCAAGCCAGATTTTCTGTTCTGACACGATGGCCTACGGACCTTCTCAAACTTTCTCGTTGTCTTTCTTTCATAAAAAGTCAAATATGTATTAAGTAAAAGTCCAACGAGTAGAAGCACTGATAATAGTATGAAAATTATCTCTCTAACAAACCACAATCAAGAGCGAACGAAACACCGGACGAAAACTATCATTACAATGATTAATCAATAAAAAATCATTATTAGGGTGAAGAAAAAGGGCATCATTTTGTTGAAGAAATCTCGCTTGATGTAAACCGGGAAAAAAAATCCATAACAAGTGCTGGTTGGGAGAATTGTGCACTACGAAACCTGAATGACCGATCTTGAAAATGACGCAAAGAAACGATAGATAGTCAACTGAAATACCGATGAATACCACCAGAAAACCCCCTTAGAGGATTTACATGTAGCTGCGAACTTTTATTATTTTATTTATTCTACATGCTTGACTACTCTCTTAAAAGACTTGCGTCATAAATTTTGATAATCTTCTGGTAATGCTTAGCCTTTTCCTCACCTATCATGATTCAAGCATATGATAGCATGTGGGCGCGCCTCACTTTACTCCTCTTTGTTTGGTTATTGGGGTTGTATCTCTGTTGAGGAGAATTTAATAGTATACTATGTTAATACCGCTTCCTTGCGAAACCCACTCTATTGAGAACTAACGACATAACATTTCATTACAAGTTGTAGCAAAATCTACTACTTCCTTGCATATTAGTTTTTGAGAGATTAGAAGATGCATGATAAATTGAAATTTTTTTAACTTTTGTAGTTGACAAGTCATATAACAGTATTTATAAGTTTGGCAACACAATTAATAACCTATTTTAAAGAGAATTGTGAAAGTGAGATTTTTTCAATTTTAGTAAAATAGTTAATAACTTTTATAACGATATTAATAACTCTAATAATGTCATTTACCATGTGATTTGAAAGATATTTTGACATCGAGAGATTTCTGAATACGTAATAAATTAGGAATTTTTCAACTTTTATAACATTGTTGAGGCATGTAACAGTATTAACAAGTTTGGTAACACAACTAACATGTTTTCAAAATATTTCTATAGTATAAGCTCAAATAATATAAGGACAATGTGGTTATTTTAACAAATTTCTAAATTCCTATTTTGTCGTGTGATTAAAATAAAATTTCCCGAAAGTATTTTATTGTTATTTTCTCAAAACTCAACCTCCAAAATTGTCCTATATTAATCTTGGCACAATAAGATAAAATATTATAACAAACAAAATTACTATATGACTACTGAAATTAACTCTACGAAAATATACATTTATTAAATAATATTGACTTTGTCGTAGTAGACCGCGTAACAAACCATATGCTACAGGCATCTATGGAGAAAACATAATTATTTTAACATGATATTATGTTGTTTTCAATGTTATACAATGAAGCACTAACTATATGATTGCATGGCTCTATAAAATCGGCTTGAAATCTAACAATTCCATTTGCAAAATCGATTGCTTAGAACTAGAATTTTAAGACTCGCAATTAAATTTTCAATGTCTATTAACGTCAACGGTTTGATATAAGAATCAACAGCCAGAAACTGGTCCTACAGCCAACATTCATTGCATTACTTAGCCTTCAATCCCCCGTGACCTTCAGCAAAAAAGATAATGTGCAAGTCAATCATCAAATTCTATGAGAAATTAACTGACCAACTAATGATAGCGTCTTTGAATAAATACAACCAAATGAGACGCTAGACCTCATTACCGAGGCAGAGCTATATGGAACAATATGTAAATCCCCTCATCGACAGGACTCCAGCAATGACATAAAGCATATGCCAATTAGGCCATCAAAAGCACTCATGCCTCAGGGGAGCTGTTATCTAAAAGGAATCAGATCAAGTACATCGTCTGACACTTTAAAATAATACTTGACTGCTCCAATATCAGCTTCCAGGGTACAGATGACTTCAACTTTTAACTAGACGGGAGATATCCAAAAAAAGAAAAAGAAATTAAAACAAAAAAATTATCTTCTATCAACCGATCTCCTTGATTCCAGAGGCAGCTTTGCAGAATCAAGAGAGCTTCTAACTTTAGAATCGTGCTTATCTTCCTTTGGATCATGAGCTGACTTTTTCCGCCTTAGCATATCCTCTGCATACCGACGCCATAAAACTTCCCTTTCTTTTCTTGGAACTTTGTTATATCGTGGATCAGATTTTAGAAAACGTTTAGCAGTAGACCATGAATTATAAACTGTTTTCCCATCATTATTTTCTTGAGATGCTACTTCAGAATTCAGGACTTCAGTCAATAGAGCTCTGAACTCCTGCACGCAACGCTGGCCAAATCACAAAGATCACTTATGTTAGGGTTTAGCATATACACGCAAGAAACCATTTTTTCTAATGCCAGAATGCCAAAAACGTTAAGATTACACATGCTTCAGCTAACTTACAAAAAATACATACGGCTACTGAATCTTGGAAATATGCAATGTACTGTGGTTAAAACGGCCTTCAAACAGGCAGTATTGCATTCAACACTAAACAATAAATAACCCATCAGTTTGCAAGCCAAAAGCAAGTATCGGAGTTTCTCCTTAAACCAGCATCGTGATTCATGCATAATGAACGCATGGCGAATTGTAAAATTAAATCACATGCCTAAGGCAGCTCACATTTCCATTGAATACCTTCAAAAAAACAGAAGGCCCAGAACTAGTCATGTCAAATCTCAGTCTAGATTTCCATTTGTAATTGTAAGCCTTCATTCATTCATTTTGGTGAAATTGTAAGTTTTTATTAGCCTTCACCATTGGCGGCAAGAAAAAAAAGCAACTGATCACTTTCAATTCTACAACTAAATAGGTATACATAAACACTCATCTATGGATTAGAGCATAAAGACTCATCTATAGATTAGAGCCATGTAAATAGTAGATCATTATTAAAATACAAAATCACCTTAACGTCAATAGTTCAATAGATTTTATCTTCTGGATGTCAGTATGACAATAATGAGGGACAAAAGGATTAATATCTTGTGCCTCCAAGAAACCAAATGGACTGAAAAAGTTGCCAAGAAACTTGGAAAGTATAAACTTTGATACACAGGAAAGGTGAGTGCAACGAATGGTGTTGGTATCATCGTTGATAGAACATAGAAAAAAAATGCGGTAGAGGTTAAAAGGTTTGAGGACAGAATAATATCTTTAAGAGTAATTGTTGAAAAGGATACTATCAATATCATTAGTGCTTATGTACTTCAGGTTGGGGCAGAGGCACACCTTAAAGATAAGTTTTGGGAAGATATGGAGGGGTTGATTCAAAGCATACCACTCGAAGAACAAATTTTTATCGGTGAGGATCTTAATGGACATGTTGGTAAGGAAACAGGACAATTGGGCGGGGGTCATGGTGGTTTTGGTTTTGGGAAGCTTAATAGTGGAGGACAATCTATTTTTGACTTTTTTTTTACATACAATCTCAAGATTGTCAACACTTGTTTTAAGAAGCGAGAAAAGCATGTAATCACGTACAAGAGTAGTGCCTCAAAATCACAAATTGATTTTTTTTGTTAAGAATTCAGATAAAAGATTGTGTACTAATTGCAAAGTGATTCCTGGAGATGGGGTGACTACCCAACATAGAGTACTCATCCTTGATGTACGTTTTAAGAGTATCAGGCAAAAGTACCATCAAGTGGTAAAACCCAGGGTTAAATGGTGGCAGTTAAAGGGTGAGAAGCGGGAGTTATACAAAAGGACCTTTTTGGAAGAAGGGCTTTGGGAGTTGCAGGAAAATGCAAACAGGATGTGGGAAAAAACAATTACAAGGGTTCGTATGATAGCTAAAGCAATTTTGAGAGAATCCAAAAGTCTTGGTCACAGAGATAAGGAAACTTGGTGGTGGGATAAGAGTGTGTAAAAGAAAGTCAGACAACAAAGAGACTGTTTTAAGACCATACATTTGTGCAATAGTGTAAAAAACCGGGAAAAGTACCAGTTGACTAAAAAGAAGACGAAAAGAACAATGAGCGAAGCAGGTACTAAAACTTACGGGGGGCTTTATCAGGAATTTGGAACAAAAGCGGGAAAAAAAAATATTTACAAGATTGCAAAGCAAAAAGAGAAGAAAAAAAGAGATCTAGACCAAGTAAAGTATATAAACGATGAAGATGGTAAAGTGCTAGTTACTAATAGTAATATTAAGAATAGATGGGAGGCTTACTTTTACAAGTTGTTTAATGAAGGAAGCAATTATGCGACTCAGGACTTATAGGACTTGTTAATTAACAAAGATGATCAGAATTTGGCTTTTTACCACAAGATCTGCATCAAAGAGGTTAAGGCAGCTCTCAAAAAAATGGACAATGATAAAGCTGTTGGACCTGATGATATCCCTATTAAAATTTGAAAATGTTTGGGCGATAAGGGTGAGGTATGGCTAAACAAGTTTTTTAATGAAATTTTATGCTCTAAGAATATGCCGGATGAATGAAAGAGGAGCATTTTAGTTCCTATTTACAAGAATAAAGGAGATATTCAATACCGTGCAAGTTACAGAGGGATAAAACTTACGAATCATATAATAAAGTTGTGAGAAAAAGTGATGGAATATAGGTTGAGGTTGGATACTTCTATTTCAAAAAACCAATTTGGATTTATGCCAGGGAGATCCACAACAGAAGCAATCTATTTACTAAGGGGGTTAATAGAAAGATATAGGAGTAAAAAAAAAGATTTACATATGGTTTTTATTGACCTGAAAAAAGCTTATGATCGTGTATCAAGAGAAGTAATGTGGAAGGGTTTGGAAAAGAAAGGTGTACGGGTTGCTCATATCAAAGCCATATAAGATATGTATGAGGGGATAACTACTAATGTAAGAACGCTTGGAGGTGAGACAAAGGACTTTCCCATTAAGATTGGCCTACATCAGAGATCTTCTTTGAGTCCGTACTTGTTTAATATTATTTTGGATGTTTTAACTAAACCTATTCAAGAAAGAATCCCTAAGTTCATGCTCTTCGCAAATGACATAGTTCTCACGGCGGAATCAAAAGAAGAGATTAACACTAGATTAGAGTTATGGAGAAAGACTTTGGAGTCGAAAGGTTTCCGCTTAAATAAGAACAAAATAGAATATATGCATTGTAATTTTAGGAGAAGGCAAAACAATGGAGATTTGGAGGTGAAGATGGGGGATCAGATCATTCCTCAAATATCAAAATTTAAATACCTAGGATCTATTATACATGAGGATAGGAAAATTGATGAAGACATTTCTCATAGAATACAAGCTAGCTGGTTAAAGTGGAAGAAGGCTACCAGAGTTATTTGCGATAAGAAGGTACCTAAGAAGCTTAAGAGAAAATTTCATGGGACTGCTATAAGACCAGCTATGATGTATCATAGTGAATGTTGGGCAATAAAAAAAAAACAAAACACAAAATTGAGATAGCAGAAATGAGGATGTTGAGATGGATGTGTAAACATACAAGAAAAGATAGGATTTGAAATGAAAATATCAGAGCAAAAATCGGTGTGGCACTTATCCAAGAGAAAATGATTGAAAACTGCTTAAGATGGTTTGGACATGTGCAGAGAAGGCTATTGGAGGCTCCGATAAGAAAGGTAGATAAGACAATATGGAGTCCCATAAAAAAGGGCAAAGAAAGACCGAGAAGAACGCTTAATGAGATCATTGAATGAGATCTCCTTATCAACAACATATCTAAGGACTGGGTTGTTAACAAAACATGATGGCATCGTGTGATTCATGTAACTGACCACACCTAGTGGGATAAGGCTTTTTGTTGTTGATGTCAGTATGACAGTAAGAGAATTCAAAAAAGCAACAGTGACCAATTGTGCATTAAAACCTCACGGACTCCCAGCACATGACCACTCCATTAACTTGAACCAAAGCAAACATTTTTTATGCATGTGAGGAAGAAGTAAAGCCTTTTCAGTTAAATATAGTGGTAAAGGAATAAAGAATTTTAATCTGTTAGTAACTACCTAGGGGAACCAGTTGCACCTGAAATTAATCAAATACCCAGACCAGAGCTACAAGAGGGTGTCTTGGTAAAGCCTTGAAAGAACGATGGATGATTAATGAAATTGACTGGTTAACGTACCAGATTAAGATACCACGTAGGCCTGCAGTCAGAAATTACTAGTATTTTGGTAGAGGAATAATGAATGAATTTGATTGATGAATAGACCAGATTTTGAAACAGTGAAAGGCTTGCGCTCAGGAATAATATACGATTGATATGTTAGACAGTTAATTTCAAAGTTTGGGAATACAGTCAGAACGGCCCAGTTAACAATCAACGCCATGCACCATGCAACAGCCGATTATGAGAGACGGAAGACCTCATCACCCACTGTGGTCAGAAATCAATGAAATCTGAAGCTTGATCTATTTGGACTGAGACATGAAATCAGATATGCACCACGGGAAGCTATTCAATGTGCAGATTCGCCGGCTAAGGAAGTTCACCAGCTAAATACGGGAATGATGATTTGAAAGAACCCCATCCTGGCTGTGGGGTCTGTCTGAAAGCGAACATCCTACACTAGTTTACAGTGATCTGTTTCTTTCTTCTGTTTGTCTTGTACTTTTCAAGTTGTAACTTGCCTCTTGATTTAAATAATAATAATAATAATTTAAAAAAAAAGAAAAGAAAAAAAGAATACAGTCAGAACGTAGATCATAAGGGCTGGTTAAATCAATATTCTTTCATCCTTAGTTATCATATTTATGACGACAAAATTTTACAACTGTAGGAAAAGGGAGTTATTAGGGGCTGAATCTCTCTGAAACCTCAGCTCGGGTGCCAGCAATTTCAGTGAGATCAAGCCCATCAGAAATTTTGCTTTTTTGCTTCTAGGGGATTCCTTCCATTCTTCTTTTGCTTCTCAATATATATTTTCCCTTCCAAGTGTAATTCAATTACTATGTATGTGTTGAGCAATCCTCTTTCTCACTCTCTCTACACACACAAAAAACAAAGTAATGCATGAACATGTATGTGTTACCTTCAATAAGCAAGAGGTGCTAAGGACCTACTGAAATGAAGTCTCAAATTAGCAAAGTCCTTGAGGCACTAGAATATTGCAGGTCACAGAATGGTATGGTAAACCAGTTCTAACTCTTTTCAGATCTTCCTTTGTTCCCTTTTTTGTTTTTTTGATTGCCCAAGTCTTTTTGTATCAATTGATAGTCATTAAAGCATGGTTCATGACATCTTGGGATATTTCTAATGCTGCCCAAGTGAAGATCACCAGTATCAAGTTTACTGTTTACGCTGCATCAGTAGCACATTTAAACGCAAGGGGTCAAGGAATACTTGCAGAAAGCACTGGATCTCAATCAGACAGCAGGTTCACAACTTGGAAACGAGTCCTAAGCCAATTACGCTATGCTTGGGTCTAAACATGAGTCTGTTGTTCATAACTCTATTTTACTTGCATTTTGATTAGGCTCTTCAACGTATAGGTTTCTTGTACGCATGACCAAAACTCAGTTAATTAAAGAACGTTGACTATCTGGAAATAGGTTCACAGAATTGATCAACATAAGCTTCTTTTTTTTTGGGGGGGGGGGATAAATTGCCTTTTTGTTTGCTAACCCCCTACTTGGATTGAGAGAAAATTAGGGAGAGAAAACTAGAGAGGAAAATAGGAGGAGAAATGAGTTTTTTCCTGCTCGGATAAGAGAGAAAATGCGAGAGGAAGAAAAAGTAGGGAGGAAACATAAGGTGCGTCTCATGTTTCATTTTCTCTCCATATATGGAGAGATTTAGGGAGGAAAACGAGATTTCTGTGACTGCCCCTCCTCCCATGCCTTCTTATGTTCTTCATCTCCATATCTATTTTCTTTTATGATATTTGCAAAATTATCCACTTTTTAAGGAATAAAGTGAAAATCGACATTACTAAACCAAGACGCTTCTAAAATTAGTATGCACTTTTCATTTTTAATCACAACATCCATCCACGCAAACTCTCATCTCTATATCAGAATTCTCCTCCTCACCAATGGGGACATTTTATTTGTCCAAGCTTCAACTTAAATGAAATTCATTAATCACAAAATAAAATAAAGCACATGACATTGCAGCAAGAACACATTGCTACTATGAGAAGAAGCAGCCATATTTGACTTACCTCCTGAAGCATCTTCACATGTTCCCGGAACAGCTTCTCTGTGTCAGATGGATCTAGATCAGGATTAGTTGCCCGGCCTTGAGGATCCTTTTCTAACTTAGGCTTTGATTCAGTCCATGATGCCTAAGAAATGATTATATTTTAATTAACAAGGATTTCACTAGCTTCTTGACCATAGACCCAAAAAAAAAATAAAAAATCAACATCTAACTTTGCAGGACCAAGAGTAACCTGCAAGCAATTAGTTATCGCCAATAGAATAATTTACTCAGAACACCTGCCAAGTAGCTAAGAAATCCAATTTAGTCCTCCATCTAATTTTTGTCTACCATTTTTTTTCGAAATTTTTTTTACGTTAAGTCCTTATAATCTCTTATTGGATAGAGATAGTTGAAAAGAGCCAAGGCAATACAGCTGAGGCAATATTAATTTTGAGGAAAGAGACCAAATTCTTCGCAAAAAATAAAGGCAAGTAAAATTTGACCCTCATGGGATTATGGAAAAAGTCCACAATCCCATAAATATAATTTTTATACACCTAAGAACGAGAAAACAGGAAGGAACACAAGGATAAATTTTCACCATAGGGTCTTTGATTGTCTCCACAAGTAAAGCTTGAAATGAAGTAAATGCCTCCTTTCTTCGAACTTTAAGTCGCACCCTCTCCATTTCTTGTTCTTCTCTTTCTTTTCTTTTGCGCAGCTCCCGTTCCCTCTCCTTCAGCTTATCCTGTAAATCAGTTTCTAGAGTTGAAATCTGCTTTTACACGCACATATGCATAAACTGCATTACATTCCTAGCTGAACTTTGAAGACGTGTAAAATAATAAATAAGCCTCCTGAAGTAATAGCAACAGATATAAAACCAGATATCAAGGGAAGATCGTTCTAAGAAACCTTAGCCACCGATGAGAAAAAAATCACAAAAATACTTCAGCATAAACCATTCAACACTTTTTGCCCCACTTCAAACATAAGACAAGCCGAAGGTAGTTATCACCACAGCTACTTGTTGATTTGTTTATTGATGGATATAGCATGCTAAAAGACATTCATCATATATTATGCAATTAACCAGGTTACACATACCTGCTCCTCCTTCTTGGCTTTGGTCTCTCTTTCTGCTGCCTGATCTGCAGCTTTTAGTTCAGATATATACTCATTGAATAGAACATCCCGATCCTCATGCCTCACAGATTTGTATCTTGGATCATTCCTTAAACTTTCCTTAACCTACAACCCAATGCCATAATATGAGAGGGGGGTTGAAATTATGTGCATAATACACTGGAAGGATTTAAACAATATAAAAGAATCTAATGAAATGAAGAAGGAATGAGAGCAAAGTCTTGTCTTTTGTGGTTTATGCAACTTGCTTTGTATCTGGCTCGCTAGCAGGAGAATGATTCCCACAGTTGAGATAGAATTGTACTGTTCTTACCATTTCTCAAAATTTTCTTCTCTCATGACAACTGTTACAATAAATGATGATGATGATGCAAAGCATTTAACTTCAGTTTGACTCTGACAAGACCACTATCAATATAGAAGAACTTAACTTCTTTCCCTCTACTTCATAGTCAAAACATTTATTGCAATACTAGAAACTCCAGTCACTCATCAAGCAAGACCCAGATTTAATATTACAATTAAGATACTAACTAATAGGAAAATAACAGCCAAAACCACTAAGGGGGTGTTTGGATGGCATGAGAAGTGCTTTTGAAAAGCACTTTTCCACAAATTGAGATAAACTCTTCCATATATTTACGGCGTATACCATAAAATCATTTCTAAAACCATGATTTGGTTTTATCCAAACACCCCCTAAATCATAATTGAATATTGAGATAATGTCCTCCATCTTTTCTCTCTCAATCACCCCACCGATATTAATTCTCCCTTTCAGCTAGGTACTGCATCAACAAGCAAATCTATTCAGGGCAACAATCTACACCAGCTAGCAGACAAATATGTATTACAAAAATTATCTGTAGGCATCACAAGCCAAGGATTCAATTTCCCCAATAACCATGCCAAAATATTGCCTAAGAAGGTTGTACTCTCCATAACAAAGTTCTCTCGATGAAAGGGATCTGAATGCTATCTACAGATTTTAAGAACTAAGAAGTTGAATCTGATACAACGGGCCCACAAATGATATTTAAACATGAAACAAATGAACACAAGTGCTTTAGAAACCTGTCACAACACAAAGGTATGTCGCAACTTATTCCAAGTTCCATACCCTTGACCAACGGGAATTGACAGTTATATCCCCTCGTTCCTGGAGCATCGACTTAAAACTGGCAGCAGCAGCTGCACGAATTGCCTGAGCCTTTTCTTCAGCCGCTTTCCTCAAGGGAAGTACTCTGAAACAAATATAACACAGGTCACCCAGTATAACAATAATGTGACACTGACATATATAAAATATTTACCGAGCAAATCCAAAGAGTTTAAAGGGTAAGAGAACATTAATGGTTAATCAAAGAAACTAAACCTAATGGCAAAATACCGACAGAGCTCAAGTTCTATTGAATTGTTATAAGACCAACAACGTCATATGGTAATGAAGGTTGAGCATGAAGGGACAAGAGCAAAAAAAAATAAAAAAAAATAAAATTGTTTTCAAAACAAAAAACCAAACAAGCTCATAGAAAATCATTTAAAGAGATTCAAAAGAGCACTAGCTAAGGAATTTGAGATCACCGACCTTGGTGCTCTCCAACATTTTCAGGGCATAAGAGCAGCAAGATCTTCTACGGTAAGAGTATGAAGAGAGAATATAACAAAAAAAGGGGGAAAGGTGAGTGAGTTCTGACTTACACGAGCATCTTATTTATAGTGAGAGCCTAATACCATGTAATAATGGCTAAAAGTTACAGAACAATTACAAAATATAAATACATAATCAAATATCCCTAATTATATACAGTCAATCCTAATCAATTGTGACCCATCACAGTAAATAGTCAATCAACAAAAATCCTCATCTGAATCAACAATCCCCCTCAAGTAGCAATGTCAGGTCTTATGTGACAAGCTCCTTCCAAATGTAGGAAATGCAGGGTACGCTTAATGCTTTAGTAAGAACATTAGTCGACCATTGGAGTTGATGTGGCTAGCGGCAATCATTCTAGATAAGATATTTTCTCTAATAATATGACAATCAACTTCAATGTGTTAGGGAAGCTTATCTACTCAACTCACACAAGAACTAGCATTAGCTTTCCAGAAAGTGTTATTGGTCAACATGACTAAATCCACTAAGTACCTCCTTGAAGCAGACATCAAAACTATGAAAGTATGCAAAACTGAACACTAGAAAAGAAAGTTACCATAGGAAAGACATTCAAAGGAGCACAGAAATTCATTGTGACGCTAACTGGGGAGATTCTATAATTGACAGAAGATCAACCGGCAAATAGTGAACAGATGTATAGGAAAACTAGGTTACACAGAAGAAACAATCTGTTATCGCAAAGAGCAGCACAAGAGCAAAATATAGGGCTCTTGCACAGACAATCGGTGAAAAGACTACTCCAAGAGTTATAAGTGGAAACCCAGATGCAACTTCAAGTCATTTGTGACAATATAGCACCACAACACTCAATATAACTGAGAACCCCATACAAAATGACTGTACAAAAAAGTTGAGGTTGATTGCCACTTCATCAAAGATTGATAGAGGTCAATTTGACCCGAAGTGTATTCAATCTTTCATCCAACAACAAGAAAAAGAAAATTACTACAGCTGCAATGCCTCTCTTATTCTGCCATCCAAATTCCATCACCATGAAACATCCTTGTTTCTTAAAGAGCTCTAAACCCTAAATTCCATCACCATAAAATATCCTTGTTTCTTAAAGAGCTCTCTTTACTGAATTCTAAGAGATGAGTTGACTAAAAACAAATGAGGAGTCAATAATGACCATGAAATAATAGCAATAATAACATGTAACTAATACAAATAACTCAAATCAAAAGTGTAAAGCTCAGTAACACCTTTCATTAAACAACTGCTCTCGATCCTTGCGATCCAATGCCTCAAACCGTTGATCATTTCCCCATTTCTTTCGAAAGGTTTGATAATCAGTGTTGTGATTGATATCCTGAATATCAAACATATTATCAGCATTCCAAAGTTCTAACTTCAAGGCAAAGCCATTTCATAAAGAAACCATAGATGCATAAATGAGGTTAGATTGGATACAGCATAAAACCTCAGAGGCTTCATCAAGTAACTGTTTAAATCCCTCTATTGCAGCCCTCTGAGCAGCACGTTTTTCCTTACGTTCCTCCTCAGCACGGGTTTTAACATAATGCTCAAACAAGGACCTCCTGGCAGAATAACTTGGGATAGCCTGCAGTGGCACATTTTCTCCGCAATTAAAAACTCTAAACATCATCTCCTTAGTATAAATTTTAAAAACAAAACATAGATAATGAAAACTGAAGACAAATATAGAGTTGGAGTAAAAGAAATACTCTTCACGCAAACGTAAAAATATAAAATCTCAAGGAGCTTTTGAATCTCACAGCAAGTCCAACAGAGAACCTCACTAAAGATCAATGAATTCAAACCCATAGAAGACAACCCTATCGCCAGAATCGTGTAAGGAATAAAGAGGGGCAAGAGTCCAGCCTTGACAATAATAAAATACACCAAATTCCCCTGAAAATAACACAAGTTAAAACCCTCCTTCTCTGCCACCCCCTCCCTACCACCAACTCCTCAGAAGAAAAAATAGTGAATCCAAAGTTAATGCTCCAAAGTGCACAAAACAGATATTTAAATCCAGATTTCTTAGCAGAATATGGAAATGTAAACTCAACATATAGCACAATGAACACTCAGTACAACAATAACAATTAAAGTGGATAAGACACCCGAAACATTTCAATCCCTAGATAACCAACATCCAAACTCATGTCAAGGCATAAGTACAAGGAATAAATAAAATTAGAACAACAATTGATCTTTTATTAAAGAAAATGTATATGAGGCTTTATTTAAAACAATCTATACAACACTCATGAAAATCAGCAAAAAGTAAAATCCTTATTTTATGAAACATCCCACATGGCACAAGACATATGGATGAGATTTGCACCTCAATCTAACAACTTCAACCACTAGGGGAAAAACCCCTTAATTTCATGAGACATCTTTCCTCGTCTTACTTGCTTTTGAACAAGTCAATTAAATAATAGAATAAATGTCTACAGGAAATATTCCTACCACAAGGATATCAATCCTTAATTGCATCAGATGCATTCAGAGTGTGATACAACAATGGTAACAATTATGAAAATAACAAAAATATATAAATAAATCTACCAATTCAATGATAGACAGAACACATGCACAACCAACCTGTATGCAAGAGTTCCAGGTGAAGGAAAGGCCAATAATTCCTGAACAAATTAACCTATAATCTTTAGACTCAACAAACCTTAAAACGTGGATCAAATACTATCTTTGGCAATTCTTTCTCCCACTTTGAGAATGGTGCCACTCCTCGCTCCTTAAGCATCTCCTGTAAAATAAACAGGCAGAAACAAATAAACAACTTCATCACATTTCAAAAAGCACACCCAAAAATGCATCCTACTGTAACCGTTTCACACAGAGCATGTTGGAAATGGAATTCAGTCCTAGTTAGTTATCTCTAGTTAGCTATAAGTCAGATTTACAGATATACTGTGATGAAGACAAGACGGGCTGAAGCTGACATTTTATGAAATACTGCAATACTATAAGGTCGATATGCTAAAAAATACAAACAATATTTTAACCATATAAGAATGCAACAACGGTACCCTAAATTGAATGATACGCTCCTCTTTTGAAGGTCCCTTATCTTCATCTTCTGAATCAGATGACGTGTCAGATATATTAGCATCACCATTAGAATCCTTTTGTTTATCTTTGTTGTTCTCACATTGTAGGCCCTTAGCAGTAGAGTCAGGTGCTTTTGAACCATTGGATTCAGATGGTGTCTGACCAGATGGCGAAGGAATAGCAGGGGGACTAACAGGATTTCCTGAATCCTGCAATTTTTTCTTGATCAAATCCAATGCTGATGAACCCTGTGAACTAGAGGATTTCAAAGCTGCAGCATCACGACCACCAGTATTAATAGCAGGAGCATTCAAAGTAACCATTCCTGATCCTTTTTCAGACAACACATTAGTATTCGGAACTGACATTAAATTTTCCTTAGTAGCATCACCATTCTGCTTCTTTTTCAATTCAGTCACTTCACTTGGGATTTGCCAGCAGCTTGTCTGAAGAAAGAAACCAAAGGATGGTATCAAGATCTAAATATAAATTGTTAACAGTTTGCATTCGTGTGTACTCAACTTACATTGCCACTAGGGTCCAATGACAACTAAGAAAGTTGATTTATCAAATGAATATAGAGACAGGAATTTTTAGTTTTGGAGATAGAAGACATTTTGTCAAAAGAAAGGGAGTGACAGTTAAAATTAGACTGCATTGTTATGCAGCCTCCCCCCGCCCAAAAAACATGTGCTAGGGGAGATTTCAATGTTGTTCACCTCCCCATTGAAAAATTGGGGTGTTCTGATAAAAAATAAATAAATTCATACAATTAAAAATCGAGAAAGAAACAAAAATAAAATACGTCTGCCTGAGCAATGTAGCTCCCTATTCGCATAGCATATCAAACAGTTTAACCTGAGCATCCTCCATGAACATACTGCAATACTTGAACCAGCTACCGTCGAACCTCACTCCAACTAATCCAAGGGCAATCTTTATAGAGTACCACTTTATTTGACTATGTTCAATAAGTACCCATAGTACCATAGACGTCAACACTTGTGTGCCAAAGATTGACAATTTCAGCTGTACAACTTACAGTCATCTTTAAAGGCCACTGGTTATTGACTCAAGCATATCTAATTATATTTATGGTAACATGCATTGCTACTCTAGTAATAATATTATTGTTCACAATTTTGGGGTGACTTTCTACTAAGGATATACTATCTCCAGTCCTTAATATAAGAACTAGATAATTAATTAATGAAAATTAACAAAATTACTTTAAGTCAGTTAGCTGTAATAAATGAGTGTTGTATTTTCTAAAATGTCCTTGTTAATCATATGCATTAGAGCTACCCATTAATATTGAGTCTCCAACTAGTTCTTATGTTATAGACCGGAGGGAGCATTAGAATTCTATTTACTTACTTCTCATAGTTAGTCCATATATTTGGTGGTTTATGTACTATGAAATATTGTAATAACAGATACAGGAAACCATAAGGGCTTTACATCTAAAGATTGAACTCAATTTTCAACACGAATCATACCTTAGTTCGGTTGTTGTAGTAATATTTTTTCCCATCACTTGTGGTAACCAGTACCCAATCAGTACCAGGCAAATTGACCCTATTACAAGGAAACACAACAAAAACACAAGACAATGTTACAGATATTTGTTTCATCATAATCAAAGCTTTAGGGACCAAAAAATAGAGGAAGAAAAATCAGAAAGTTTTGTAAAAGAAAGCTTCCTAATTGCAACAAAAGCTAGATACTAGATATAACTACACCTCTAGTAAATATGACAGACAGACAGACAGACACAATAAAATTCATGTGAAGGTAAAAACAGAAGAGTCACCTAAACATGAAAAAAGATCATCTCACAAATGCCCCCTCTCTATCAAGCACTACAACGAGGCATGCTCCCAAAGTTCAATTAATACTAAGTATATTTTGTGTCAGCTCAACAATAGTGAATACGAGCAGCCCCCTAATTTTTCACAAGCCATCAGACCCTTCCATGCTAGTGAATCCAAATTCCGATGTTGTAAAGAATAAAAATGTCTCACTATTCATGAAAGTTTTGGCTACAGAGCATTTCACACTCCTCATGAGCCTCCTTTTGTATTGTCACATGTAGAATATAGATCAGTTTATTGATACTGCTCTGCTGACAATAGAAGGAAAGGATATCCGTCCTATACATAAATAAACAGTCCCTTGCAAGGAAAAATCAACTTCAAATACATTATAAGTATCAGATCTTAAAGACCGCATGCTAGGGAAAAATAACAAGGCTCAGAGATCATACAAAAAGCTTCTGTTTTTCAAACTGGTACTGGATCTTGATGGGAATAAACAGCTAATGCTCATTATTAGGCTATGAAGCAGGGCATGATGGCAATAAGAGGACCATTAGAAGAGAATAGTCACTCTCAAGGGAAACAAAACTGGTAATAGATTATAACAGTTATATCTTGAAGAATAAGATAGTAGAACAATAGTTTCAACCCAAAAAAAAAAGGGAAATCATGAGTGATGTGTAGACTTGGGAAAGCAACCAAACCAACAGTTGTCATTGGCTTTCGAATTTCTGAATTGTAGCTGTTGGAATATTATACATGACGTAATCTACATTCACTATTGTTGGAATGTTATCCATATTTAGCCTAGATTCGCTAGTGTCTATGTTCATTTGAACAACATTACACTTGCTCTACACATATTCTTTACCTTTAAACCACAAATCTTGTAAGGAGCCAAAAACACCTTACAACTTGTTTATCTCTTCAAATTGATCATGGCATAAGGACTACTATGATCGTTCCAGTGCCCCTTCCTCTGGCCATGTATCCTTCCAGCCCATGTCCTACTTTCCATCAACAACACAAGTGGAAAAAAACAAGTTCTTACTTCCATAATACTGTGATTCCTACATCACAGCTGACCAGTTTTTTTCTTGTCACAAGACCACTTCATCATCCCCAAAGGGTCTGGGCAGACCCATGAAGCATTAACTTACCAAACACACACCACCACACTCTGGCTCCCAGGGCCAGCAAGTGAGAGCGTATGAAAAGGGTTTTTCCAACAATCCTTATCCATACTTGGTCATTGTCTTCTCCTCTCTCCATACCAATATCCTAAAATTTTAAAAATTGTCATATACATATAGATCATATTGCATTGTATCTTATATGTATACCCATATTGGTGCTACTTAGGTTTTCTTCCTACCCTATGCCTTTGCTAACTGAGATGCATTCATTGCTAACTTAGGCACATGAAGATTGATACGCATTGACTAAAAATATTTAGGCTTTACCAATACACATCTGTCTCATTTCTAAGTCAAATTACTAGGGCTTTCACCTAAGTTTATAGAACAGTCAGCAAATGCAATGTTAGAGGCGATATTGCTGTTGCTCTGGATTCCACAATCATGTCAAGTCACCCTTGCAGTCCGCATTGGCAATGTCCACATGTTCAGAAAATCATCCCCATTAAAATGCAACAGTAACTTCAAATTTTAAAAAAAGAACAAAAAAACCTTGCAATCAGTCTATCACACAACTCAAAACAGTTATATTATTTTTTTCGTTTATAAATGAAAAAGAACCAGAAGAGACTTCCATATGCCGTCACCAAGAACTAGGATTAAAAAAGCTAGACAACATAAGTAAATAACTGCAAATTGGCACAAAACAAAATTAAAGAAACGGTAAAGACAGAATTAGTCAGGCTCAGAAAATAAAAGCTGGAAATTACATTGAAACTGGAGTTGGCTGCACAGAGACTTTATCAGGCTGCATAAAAATTCAAAACATAAGTAAATTGGGAAGGAAAAAAAAAAAACATTGCTCCAGCAAAGTAACGAGAATTATACAAGTAAATTTTACCAATAGTATGTAAATACGTAAATATCGAAGAGTTGCACAATCATCTCTGTCAAATATATACAATAATAGATACCATTCTCCAAATAATCCCCGAAGAGTAGAGAGATCTGGTCAAAGTTACTAGAATCTAAGAATATAAATCACTTTAAAAAAAAAATTGAAACAATATCGTAACAGAAAATAAATAAATGAAAGAAAAAAAATCTGAGATTAATGGATTAGTTAAATGCAAGAATACAATTTTCAAATCATTAAACTGGAATTATAAATAAATTTTTAATGCCAGAAGACAATTTAAGATATGATATTTTGACGGAAATTGTGAATGCAAAAGAGGTGACCTCCGGAAAATATCTACCAAGAGAGTAAACAATACGCATCAGTACCTCCCCCTTAAAGCCCGCAGGCTTATCATAAGTAGATTCTCCTGTCAAGGCATTATAATAGTAAACAATGTCTCCTTCGGTTTTATGGGCAGTCCATGCATCCAGTTGATCATTAATGGCATCACTGCCCTGAGTGCCAGTAGCATTCAATTTTTTCTTGTCATCTGCACAAAACACCGAAGTACAGATAAAAAGGATAGGATTGCAAAATAACATGAGCTAATACATCAAACATATCAGTGAAGCATTAATAATGCAGTGCGCATACCAGAATGCCCCTCAACTACTTCTGTCTGCAAATCAGCAGTTCCCCTTGGCTGATGTGCTGAAGATGATGCAGAAGTGGCACCAGTGGTTCCCACAGGAGTAACACCAGGAGGTTGAGAATCAGGTACTGGGACAGCTGGGAGAGTAACACCATGTGCTGGAAGTGGAAAGGGAACAGGGTAAGCAGCAGCATATGGAAGAAATGGTGGCCTAGGTACACCACCCATCTGCGGCGGCTGTAACCAAAGTCCCTGAGAAGCAGCCATAGAAGGTATTGACGGATAGGTTAAGCCTACATGGGAGCCAACAGGGTTTGAAGCAATGGCTGCAGTTGGCATAGTTTGTCTAGGTACTGAGGAAGAGGAAGAATCTGTGTTTGCTGATGGAGCTGCTAGGTTGGAGGATATTGAAGAAGCTGGAGCTAATCCAGGAGGACCAGGAGTTCCTGGTGCTCCAGGCATTATGTTACGTGCAGGAAAAGATGGAGTAGGTGGCATCCAAGAAGAAGTAGCGTGATAGTTGGCATCTGATGATACGGACATTGCAGACATAGACGTGTGAACAGAAGCAGAATGTAGAATGTTAGAGGCAGATGATGCTTTACCAACATCCTGTCCAACGGATTCAGACTTATTCTGCAACAGACAGATGGAACTATTAGTACAGAGTTAATTATCAAATTATTCATTATTTGATACCAAAGTTCATCAGCCAATGCTCATGATCATTTGACCGAGTGCATGAGTTGCTATACTATAAATGATATACTTGGTCCCCATCATCATATTTCTCTTCCTCCCTCTATTTCTTCTGTTTCTCCCTCTTCCTCTTGCTCTTCCTCCTTCTCATCCCCTTATTTCTCCCTCTCCCTTCTTTATCCCTTTTTCCTAATTTTCTCTCTATTTGACTATTTTCTGCCATCGCCCTCCTAGTTCTACAACATAAAAGTTTCAAAAAGAACTTGCCAGATAAAAAGCAAAGAGATCCTAAAGATGAAAGAACAAATTTAGGGTAAGGAAGCTTAGGGTCCAGAATGCAACACCAACTACATGGTGTCAGCGCCACATTGAAGCACCTGTCCTCAAATCCACTTAAATATTTCACTAAATAAGGCTTCATCTCAGACAAGACTCTCTAATCTCAAGAACCCAGAAGCCATGCATGTTAGTTGAATATTATCTCAGGGAAGATATTACTTTATGCTGCACTAGTCAGTCGTCATACTAATCAAAGCCTCTACTTAGCACTGTAAATTCATGAGGTTATATGTAAGTTGTAAATTAGAATTTAGAAATAAGGTGGTTGATTGCCTAGGGAGCAAGTGTCTGGGTGATTATGTGTGTGACTGTATCATCCTTGTTTCTATGTGAATTTTTCCACATGTTTTATGTAGATGCAAATAAACAAAGTTCACTACTGAATTATTAAGCAAATTGCCTCCAAAACGTTTAGATTAACAATTCTATACTTCCCTCTGACAGGTTAAGATTCATTTCTTCAATTGATTATCTGTCAAAGACGCTACTTGATGGGGCCCTTATTAGGACCGGACAGCCAACTGCTAATATGGCAGCAAGTTGGTAAATTTGAATTTTGAAACATCAATAATTCCAACTTGGGTAGACAATTTTCAAACAAGAGGACTGATCAGTAAAAGAACAGGCTTAGACTATTGAAATTAGCGCATAACTAGACAGGATCTCATGTTAATAAAGTGAACAAGCCTTACTGCGCTAGATTGTGAATGCTGGTCGGTAGGAAATTTAACACTCTGCGAGATGTTATATGAGAATGAAGGTGCAGCAGATGAAGAGAGGCCAGGAACTGGAGGTTGACCAACCATTGGTGGCACAGCAGAATTCATCACCTGCATTGAAAGCCAAATGACAAAACTAGCTAAAACATCATAGTGTTGATGCATTTCCGCAATTAGAGTCCTAATAAAATATCAGAATACATTAATAACAACAATATATTGGCAATATGGACAAACAAATATATCCGTACTAACATAATGAATTAATGAATTAATACCAGCTGAGAATTCCCGGATGCATTCAAACTCTGATGCACACCATAAGAGACTGGTTGTACTGGAATAAACAACCCAGCTACATTAATGAATTTTGAAAAAGCAGGTTTTTGCATTGATTCACATGTCACGCAGCTTAAACTTTAATATGCATGTACAAATACCTGCACCAGAAGGTGTAGAAGCAGAACTTGAAGTTGAAGCCACAGATATTTCTCCAGAAGTTTGACCAGATACAGGAATTTGAGAGACTGGTGGACGTGCCTCCTGAGCAAACCAAGCTGGCGATGCCATCTACACAATAAGAAATCCAAAACATTATATATATATATATATATATAGACACACATAAGGTTCAGCTCAATATGGTGTGCAATATCAGGAAAAACACAACTCCCAGGTTTTAATCCGTAGAACGCCATGAAAAATTCAAATAACCAAGAAATATAATAGGATATTGCATAATACAAAAGGAATTTAGAAAAACAATAGGCTAATACCTCAGTACCGACATGATCCCTGGCCACTGGAAGCCTTCACTTGATTAAAGCGTAAAACAGAAGTAGCTTACAAATAGCATTTGACATGAGAAGGCCCATTTGATACACAAAATGGAATTTAAAAAATGACTTTGCAGATGAAATTTATCTCTTACGCCCCAAAATGAAAAAATAATAAAAATGGGTAATTATCATTGAGCAATAATAATAGGAGTAATTTAGCGCTAGAATTTGAGATGGGGAGTAAACCCATCAACAGCAATGTCAATTTTTTGGTTGTGGGGTTGGTCTAGATGAGGTTAGAAACCAGTTCATGATGTGGTGACACTATAATATGCTAGCAGATATAAGATAAGAAGCTGGAAGGAGATTTAAGCAAAAGTTGGTGGAAATAGTTATTGCTTGCTTGAAATTTGTTGTATGAAATTCTTCTGGAATTTATATTTTGTGACCAAGATATGAAATTTGTCTTCTGAAATTTCTAGGTATGGGTTTCTCACAGAGCAAACGAAGAGTCCCCTTGAACCTTAAAACATAGAGCAGCTAGCTTTCATAGTTTCGTTTTGAGGCCACCATGTTTAACCGCAGCTTTGCAGTTTAGAGGCAACACTATGGAGCCTTCTTTTATGTTTAGCTTTGTTTTCAGAATAATGGTCTGATTTCTTGAGAAAGAGAAAAGAGATCTGATTCCTCAGAGGAAAAGAATGAACTCTGTAAATTACTAAGCGTAACGGGGAAAGAGGCTGGGAGATGGCATGGTTGTAACTATGAACTTCAATGGTGGTTCATCATAACAGCCTCTTGGTCAATAGTGGTCCTCCATCTCAGGTTCAGCAAGGGCGAGTCCTTGCTCGGGTGGAGACACTAGAATTAAATGGCAGCAAACAAAATAAGAAATAAATGAAGAGCACATAGAGGGCACTTTTGTACGAAAGCAGCTGAGTTTAGCTTCTAAAAGTTGAGTTTATTTCCAAGTTCTTACTGCCAGGGATTCGTAGATCGTAGTAATCAGAGAACTATCACACCACATTATCCAAACAAAAACTCAAACTTCATATTAGCGTTACATTTTCAACTTAATATATCTGTTAGCTTGAAAACATAAAAAAGGGCAAAGTCGAACCCTAGGGCTACATTAGTCCAAAAGGGGCAAAAAATTCCGAGTGCAAAATAGAATAGAAACAACGCAGTGAAGTTTAAATAATAAGGAAGCACCCCAAAAGGCAACGCAGCTCAGCCAAAATTTAAACTCAATTCTGAACCAAAGAACTATATTTTCGCATATAATATTCTGGAGAAGTAATATCAATGAAAACGATCCAGGAAACTAAAAGAGAGTGAGAGGGGAACCTAATTAGATTATTGACGAAACGAACCGCAAGCGTCAACGCAATCAGTGGGGCAATGAAGAGAGAATTAGCTTAGAGTGGAGAGTATCAAAGCGCTTGCCTTTGATATTTATCGAGTTCGAACCTTCTGCCTCCGGAGAAGAGAAAGCAGAGTGGCGTTAGGGGGCGAGGAGAAACTACGGCTGACGGGGTAAATCATGAAAGGGTCATGTTAAAGGTTGATCTTGGGATACTTCCACTCCCGGCGCACAGCTTCCCTCCTTTCCCTTTGCTGTCCGCTGCGATCCACTGCTTTATTTTTCTTCCTTTTTTTTCTTCAAATTTTTTCTTTTCCAATTCTCCTTATTGAATTTTTTAAATTTATCTTTATTTTGGTTTTAGTATCTCAAATTTCAAATTATAAATTTTAGTGCCTCAAGTTTTTTTTATTCAAATCATAAATTCTTATAACTTAGTAAAAACTTGAACTATTTTACTTATTGAATAACCAAAACCTATGGTTTGAAACTTAAAAGAACAAATATTATATTAACCGATGGTATTTTCTAGCAATTTGCATTTCTCATAGTCTTTTTTTTTTTAACATGGACTCAGTCATTATTCACATTAGCCATAATTAATAAATTATGACCATAAAAACTAGTGCTTATAATTGAAAAAAGAATGATATTAGAGATAAAAAAAGGTTTTCAAATTTCAGAAATTAAAATCAAAAGAATATCATATTTGAAGGACAAAAATGGTATTAAGCCAAAATAAGATGTTGCAGTTTTGATTCTGCTAACAAGTTCATGTTATTGTATATGTAGTTGAATTAAATATATATATATATAAATGCAGACTAAAATTGCAAATTATTTATTAGGAAAAATTTTAAATTTAATACTCACCATTTACCATTTACATGTCCTAGTACAAATTTACAATTAGAAATATATCAACATTATTTTTCACTTAAATAATGCAAATGTAGAGCAATAGTACATTATTTTAGTTTTCATTTTGGTTTTGTCCCTCAAACTTCAAACTATAGGTTTTGGTCTTTCAAATTTCTTTTTATTTATAATATTAGTCCCTATAATTCAATAAAAATTTAGACCATTTTGCTTCTTCAACGATCAAAACCTATAATTTGAAATTTGAGAAACTAAAACCGAAATGAGGACAAATTTAAAGAACCAAAGATTATATTAACCCATTATTTTATAAAAACATATCAACGTAGCCTAGCATGTACGATAGTACAAGATTGAACTAGCAATTCATTATATTGTCCTTATTGAAAAGAACATCTAACTCTATAAAGCTATTGGATTGAGGGTGAAATCCAGGAATATATAGGAAAGAATAGGGGTGAGCATTCGGTTTTTCGGTGATAACCGAATTAACTGAATAACCGAATAGAGTAAATTTTAAACACCGAACCGAAACCGATTAACCGAATTAACCGAAAATTTCGGTTCGATTAACCGATTAACTGAAATATATAACTATGAAAAATGATTTTAAATTAAAAATAATAATAAAACACAATTACAACCATTAATTAATAAATATTTCATGATTCAATGTGATTTATTATAACCATATTTATTGAATATAAATATATTTAAAAAGTTCATATATACCACATATATATTTATTATAATAATATTTATTAAATATAAATATATAGTATATTTATTTCGGTTATTCGGTTATAACCAAAATTGTTTTTTACTAACCGAACCGAACACCGAAATCGAATTGTTTAAAAAATAAAAACCGAATATATAATTGAAAACCGAAATAACCGAACCGAAAAACCAAAATTGAATTTGGTTTGGTTCGGTTTGGTTTTCGGTTACGGTTCGGTTTTACTTACTTCTAGGAAAGAGCCCTGTTGGCCAATTCGCATCCCATGCAACGTGTTGTACCTTAACCATCCACATCCCACCCTCGTTTCAACACGGGCCCAATGTCGTTGATGATATTAGACTCAACATGACTTGTAAGGGCATTTCTTGGTTATCCAATAGCTTCCAACGAGTCAGATTCCAAGATAATCCCCCCACAACTCACGAGATCCGTAGATTTTGAGCGGGCCTCATCAACATTGACCTCTAAGCCATCCCAGCTTCCGTTAATGAATGCTTGTATATATGCTAAGGCCTAGGCATAAACCATCTTATTGGACAAAGACTACTGAAAATTCATGGATTTCTCTTCTTCTAGGCATCATAGTTTCTTGAGGTTTGGTCTCGGGCGAATTCCAATATTTAGTGTTTAATTACCTCGTTGTACCTTGCAAATGCTGAATCGAGATAGATAGAAATTGTGTCCTTTGATTGAACCGAGTCTATGTTTTGGTTCCAGAGACGCGACTGTTGATTTATTTCCTTCAGCTGAATTCACTTTATATTTATTTTCTTCAAGATCAAACTCCATTTTGAATTTTGTGAAATCGCTTTGCCTCATATTCGTCCCTTCCCTTTCTATTCCCTAAGGCTATTCTCTCTATTTGACACTACTAGAAAAAAGACATTTAACGTCGCAAAATAACGGCGGTTAAGAAAAAAAACACCGTAGAAAAAAAGTCAGTTGCATTTTTGTAAATAAGTGGCCTGACAATTGATTTTTCACGGCGGTTATTAAGAAAACCGCCGTGAAAAGTTTTAAAATAATTCACAATAGGATTCAGTTTTACTCATTTTCATAGTTTCGTATTAGTGCGCCGTGGTTCCCCTCTGTCCCACTACCAGCAAACTTCCATTACCGGCCATTTCCCAACCTTTTCCATTGTTTAAACTCCTCTATTTAGCTTGTAGCATCTTACCGCCGTCTAAACGTCCAACTTCACGCCTTTGCATCATGTCTACTGAGTGAATATCCTCTTCTTTCCATTTTTTCAATTTTTCTTGGTTTCTTAAATATTTTGACCATAAAAATTTGTTGTATTTCAAATGGGTTTGTTAGTTTTACATTGTGGTTGGCTTCTATTATTGATTTTGCGTTTTTTATATGCTTGAGTTGTTGATTGGTGGCATTTGGTGTGAGAAAACCTCAATTCCTTCCTATATACGGTATTAGAAACATGTTTAAATGTTTGAAGTTGATTAGTTTTGAAGTTTTTATTTTTTTTATAATTTTTTGATATTTATTTCGAATTTTTTGTAATTTTTTGTAATAAAGTTGATAATTTAGTAATAAATAATCTGTTCAATGTTTTGTGAATTTTTTTCCGTTATGAACTTTGATTGATGATAAAATGTTGTTTAAAATTTCATTGCAAATGGATATCATTTGTGTTCCTGTTTTGAATTCAGAAGTTGTAGCTTTAAGAATCTTTATTTATTGAATTAGTTTAAATTGAATTCTTGTTTTTGTTTTATTTGTTATATTTCTTCAAATTTATCATGTCTTTAATTTGTTTATCACATTGTTAAGTTGGTTTGATTGATTGATTGATTTATTTATTTTTTAAATAATTTAGGATTTGTTATAGGAAAAATTAGAATGAAGGACCTAAAGCGAATAATATTTTTACATAAATTTACTTCTTTAAGTATATATGTGTTTTAATTTTTTTTTTACAAAAAGCTAAATTTTATATTCAAATCTATTTTTATTTTTTCTATAACTTTAAATTAGAAACAAGTGTTTGAAAAGAAATTATATTAAATTAATTTAATATTTTTATAAAATTTTATGCATGTTGAAATATGTTATGAAGAATAGTTTTAATTTTGATTAAAATAATTTTGTTTAACTATTTTACAAAATTTATATATGTTTGTTTGTTTTTATATTTTTATCAACATTTTCGCTCATTCATTATATATACCAATTTTTTTAAGAAATTACTTAATCTAATTTTTAAAAGCAATTATATATTTCATTTTTTATTATAATATATTTAATATATTTATGATCCTTTTAAATAATTACAATTTTTAAGGTTCTTTATAATAAATATAACTTTTTCTTGATCCTTCACTCTAATTTTCCCTTTGTTATATATTTAAGGGAAAATTTTGTCGAATTTTTTATTTTTAAAAAAGAGACATTCCCTTTAATTTGTAATTAAGTGTTAGTCAATTTTAATTTCTTGACTAACATTTAATTATTTTATTATTTCAATATTTGAATTAAGGAGTTAGAATTGAACTTGACAACTATGTTCATTGATTCTATAGAATAATGGATCGTAGTTAGATGAAAGCTAAGAGAATTAGCAAAGAATATGAGGATGGGGTTGAAAGGTTTTTTGAGTTTACTCAGAGAAATACCCTTAGTAAAATAGATGGATTGTACTATTGTCCTTGTGTCAAATGCTTAAACAATAGTCGGCGAAGTATTTCTAAGATAAAAAAATATCTTATCTGTGTTGGGATAAATTTGAAATATACAAATTGGATATAGCATGGAGAAATTAGAAAGACTACACTGTCTTGAAAGGAGAAGGTTGTGAATGAAGACTTTGGTAATAGAATTTCGGATATGTTTTGTAACATCCTGAGTTTTATCGGGTTTTAATGGCCTCTTTTGGGTTGATTTTGAGGATAGATTAGTGATTTAATCTTGATCGTGGTGTTTGGGTTGGATTTGAGGTTGGTTGGAGGCATAGGTGAACGTACCCCTCTCAGGGTATGTTCGCCGCGGCGAAGTTTACTTCGCCACGACGCACCGGGAGTTTCAGAGGGGAGTGTTCTCTCGGGAAGGTTTGGCCGCGGCGAAGTCTAGGGGACGCCGCGGCGAAGTTGTTCAGGTGAGCGAGGCTTCTCTTTCGGGAAGGTTTCGCCGCGGCGAATGTTTTCTGGGCGAGCGAGAGTTTCCTCTCGAGAAGCTTTTGCCGCGGCGAAAATTGGGGTTCGCCGCGGCGAAGTCAGGTTTTCAGGCGACTAATTCCTCTCGGGATTAGTTCGCCGCGGCGAAAGGTCGCGAATCTATATATTCGCGAGAGCAGTCAGCGTGCGAAAAATAAGAAAATCTGAGGAGGAGAGAGGAGCTCTACTAGGGTTTCGTTGTTGAGGCTTGGGAAAGGCATTTCTAAGGATCCATTACCTCAAGTAAGTGATTTTAACCTCTAATCTTCTTCCTTTCTTGGGATTTCTTGGAATCTATAAGGAATTATGGTGAAACCCTAGGATTTTCTAGGTTGTGTTGGAACTGAGGTTTTTGACCGATTGTTTTGAGTTTAATTGATTGCATTGAGTTAGTTTAAGTGTTTAATCGGTGTAGTTTCCTTGGATTTAAAGAATCTTGAATTTTTGG